CGGGAGCCCAACGTGGGGCTCAGTCCCAGGACCCTGGGATCATGACTTATCCCTGACTGAGCCCCCAGGTGCCCCTGGGAAGGTCATGCTCATGCATCTACCCACTGGCAGGGGCGCAGACCGTCAGGAGAGGTCCTAGAGAAGGCCTGACCTCAGTCACAAAGGCTGTCGTTGGCGCCATCCCGCCCAGCGTGGCGTGTTCTGGGCACTCTCCCAGAGAAGCCGGTAGCTTGAAGAAGAGTCGACTTCATTTCAAAACACTCAGAAATCGTTTTACTTTAGATAGAATCCAGACGACCTCAGAGGTTTTTGTCCACACCTTTAAGTTCTCTGTTAGCATTGTGGGGTGCTGGAATCAGGGGGCCCTCCTGCCCTCCTCAGGCCTGACCAACTTTCTGTAAGCTGTGGGTCCAGCTTTTGGGCACATTCACCCCCTCAGCTAGCCCAGAACCTTGGCCAAGTGCCAGAGTGCAAACAGGCACACAGCTAGTCCTCTCCACCAGGCACACGGGGCTCCACCAGGCCTCTCTTGACAGCTTGGCTTCTGCTAGTGTGCGTGTGCACGTGTGTTAGAAAGGTAGCCCTTCGGGTGCTTGGAGGTCCGTCGGTGAAGCCTCTGCCTTCAGCTTGGGCCGGGGTCCTGGGATCAAGCTCTACATTGAGCTCCCTGCTCAGTGGGGAGTCTGCTTCTCCCTCTCTCTCTGTTAAATACATAGTCTTGAAAGGAAGGAGGTTCCCCTGTGTCCTAGAGCTGAGGTTGATGCAGAGAATGTGGGTAAACAGTGTTGTCCCCGGGCTTGGGGATCGCCGCCCGTTTCCTGGCCCAGCCAGTAAGTCTGCACGGGGGCCTGCCTGCCCATGGCGTGCTGGGGCATGTATAGGCCCGGGTTCCGGCTGGGACTCTCATTTTGAACCTATAGTATATGGTCTTGCGCATGTTCCTCCTTCCATGAGCCTCTGTTTCGCTGTCTTAAGACACCTGAGGGTGGCAAGGCCCCTCTGCTTTCCCCTCCCAGGTCTGGGGATCATGGGAACACGTGTGTCTTCGTGAGAGTGCTTGCTGGCGGCCCTGGCTCCCTTAGAGGGCAGACGCAAGTTCATGAAACATGCCAGGGGCATTTGATGTGTCCCCATCACAGCCGGGCATGGGAAGGAGCACCGCTGGTTCTTGGAAGCCCCACACGCTCTTCCCTTTGGGAAGTGAGGGATTTCGCTGGGACCTGTTTGGTGGTAGAAGACAGAAGTTGTAGGAGCTGCACTGGTGCTCCTAGGTGCTTCTGGGTGATCTTGGGAAGGTCCACAAAACATCTTACCCCCTTCATACTGTGTGCACGGATGAGCTGATGTTTGGGAGCTGTTGAAGAAGGGGCTTTTGGCTGTGTGTGTCTCTCACATGGGTCTGTGGCTCATATTTCTTGGTGAGAGCTGTGCAGAGCCGCAGGCCCAGCGGGGCAGCCCGGTGGCCTGGTGTGGGGTCGTGGTAGGCTCTCATCCCTCCGGGGCTGTCTCCATGCAGGGGCCTGGCCTACTCTCTGTCCCGTGGACACTGGGAAAGCAGCATGTCCTAGAACACAGTCCTCTGCAGAGTGACGTACTCTCTAGAAGACCAAAGTCAGGTGGTGCACAGGTGTTACAGGCCACGTCCAGATCGGCCGCAGCCTCCTAGAGGCCGACGGTCCTGTGCTGAGCAGGGGCTCAGCGAGCATGGATGGGCAGGTAGCGCCGTGTCGCGGGTTGAGGCTGCCATAGTCAGCGGCATTCACCAGTTCTCACAGGCTTTTCCGTACGGGGATCTCAGGGGTCCGACTGAGACGGTTTTGTCAGAAAGATTAAAATGCTTGCGCCTGGGTGTGCCGCTGACACGATTGGCGCTGGGCTCTGACCCTGGGCTTCCGGCCTTGCTCTCGCTCCTGAGAACTGGCTCTCCATTGTGCCCAGCTCTGTTTCCGTGTGGGAATCGGAGCTCTTGTGAGACAACGGTGGTAAGTCTTCAACTGGGCGAGTGTCTGTCTTCTTTCTTGTCCGGTAAGTCGCTTAGCCTTGCCCTTGGCAGTTAATGCTGTGGTGGCCCTTCTACTAGACTTTTAACACTTTTTAATAAAACAGCCTTGTAACTATTCATGAATTTTAAAATCAGTGTTTGTTTGGTCTTGATGGTCCTGTTCCCATTCCAGCGAGCCATGTCCTCCAACCGATGAGCGATTGGTTGCAGGGTAAGACTGACGCTTCTCCACCACCTTTCTGTCTTGATTCCTGCTGCCTTCTCTTCTTGTAATTGTGCTTAAATCCTGATTGCCCTCAGTGTTGAAGAATGACTAACGAGGCACACAGGCTCTGGCTCGGACCTCACTGCCCGGTCCTCACGAGTGCCCAGGCTCCCCACGGCCCCTGCCCTTTCTCCACCTGGAGTTACTCAGCTATCCCCCCTCCCTGGGAGGCCAAGGCAAGGCTGGCTGCTGCCAGGGAGACTTCTGGGACCAGGCGTGCACGCAGACCTCCCCTCCTACAGGCAGGCACCAGTGGCCTCAGGAGGGTGGTAGGCAGGCAAGAACAGGGCTCCCTGTCTCCCGAGTCAGCATCCCCCTAGAGAGACCCTTGGTCATTGCCTCTGGCTTGCATTTCTTTTCTTTAAGATTTTATTTATTTATTTGACAGAGAGAGATCACAAGCAGGCAGAGAGGCAGGCAGAGAGAGAGAGGGGGGAAGCAGGCTCCCCGCTGAGCAGAGAGCCCGATGCGGGGCTCGATCTCAGGACCCTGAGATCACGACCCGAGCCAAAGGCAGAGGCTTTAACCCACCGAGTCACCCAGGCGCCCTCTGGCTTGCATTTCTCAGCTGAGTTCTAGAATGCCTCTCCCAAGAGCCAGGTATTAATGTGACGCCCGGACTTGGAGGCTGCTGTGTGGGGCATTTGCCTTTGGAGGCGGAATTGTTCCTGTGGAGCTCGCGTGCCACTTCTCCGGGAGGGCGCGGATTGTGCGGGACCCTCTGTGCCCCTGATGGCCCCCCCCCCCACCGCCCGGTGCTGGAGGTGCATGCAGCATCTGTGAGCCCCTCCCGGAGAAACATTGGGGGCAGAGTGGAGTTCTCTTCCATTGCTGCCTCTTCCTCCTTTGTTTTCTGGCCAAGCGGTAGGAAAAGCCCGTTCCTGAGTGTCCCAGCAGGAATGGGAGGGCTTGCCTGTTTCCGGCGTGGCTGGTTCGTCTCAAGTCCTTTTATTTCTGGTTTAGATCTTGAATTCTTCCAGGGATATTAGTTTTGTAACGGCTGTTTCATTGTGTTGCAACACACCAGGGCTTTCATCTTCACAACATGGGAAAAGGAATTTTTTTTTTAAAGATTTTATTTATTTATTTGACAGAGAGAGATCACAAGTAGGCAGAGAGGCAGGCAGAGAGAGAGAGGAGGAAGCAGGCTCCCTGCTGAGCAGAGATTCCGATGCGGGGCTCGATCCCAGAACCCTGGGATCATGACCTGAGCTGAAGGCAGAGGCTTTAACCCACTGAGCCACCCAGGCACCCCGGGAAAAGGATTTTTTTGGAAACAAATATTTTCAGTCGTTTTGTTTAACTTTGCTGTTCATATCAGTTACGTCCCCTTCCCCCAAGTCTCATGGTGGGACTCTGTGACGCTGTGCATTAGGTCAGCAGACACAGTATGTGAAGTGTAAGCCACTCTTTTTTTTTTTTTTTTTTAATCACAAGTGTGTAATATTAGGGACCGTGAGTGGATTTCTGTGTGGGTCAGACTGGCTTATACAGGCAGAGCAGCCACATGCCACCCAGGCCACCCCAGAGAACCACTTAGGGTCGTGCGGCTTTTAACTTCAGCAGCACACGGCTCTCAAGTTGGCCCCCTCTGTTGTGTCCTTTCTGGACCCAGAGTGGGGAGTGTTTTTTATTTGGGTCTTGGAAGGGTACCTCTTGGATCTAGATATTTATAAGCGTGAACTGGGCCACCTCTGTTTGCCTCTGAATCTCAGGGCACATTTCACAGCCGGACTCAGGTTCCGGGACCGGTGGCTAAAGGCCAGGGTTGGGGCCCCTCTGCGGCTCTCCATGACGGAGCAGAGGTTGTTAGTGGAGATTTTTGGATATCACAAGAAAATGTGAACCTCTGGGATGGTAGGAAGTTGTTTTTCTGTGCGTCATCTCTGTGTCCCTCGTATCGCTGGGTGGCAGAGTGCAGGGGCAGTGTTTGTTTAGATAGGGGTGGAATGTTGGCAGAAGTGCTTAGTAGGGCTTTATCAGCGGGAGCCCTCCCTCAGCGTCACCGTGTCCCTCCAGTGGGAAGTGCTGGGCAGGGTGAGCCATTCAGAGTTTTTGAAGAAAGCACATCACGACTCCTAAGACTCTGCAAGCTTCCATCTCTGGCTTATTCACTCCAGAGAATGGTGTTCCTGGGAAGGAGTGACCCACACTGTGCAGCCAAGGGCTGCAGCCGTGGGTCCCGAGTTCCCCAGAACGTCTCTGACAACACTGGTCTCGGAAGGTCCAACTGCATTCCTGACTGTGCAGGAGGCAGGGCAGCCCGTTTTGGCCAAAACCCTTGCATCTGGTTTGTTTTGGGGACCACAGAGTGATCAGGGGCTCCTAGAGGACCACGTTGGCCCTGGGGGAAGGCTGGAGGCCAGCATGACCAGCCCCCCTTGGCCATGCGGGGCTCGCCTGCTGTGTAGGGGAGAGGCTTGGAGAGAGCCCATCACTGCCTGTCTTGCCTTTGTCCGTGTGCTGGTTGACCTCAGCGAGGCTCTCGTTCCAGGCTGGTTCCAAGTTACGTCTCTAGCGTGAGACACTGAGCCCTGCTGAGGGCGAGGAACCCAGAGCCACGGCCCCTTCTAAACCACGTAACGTCAAGGTCATTTGCTGCCTCAGAGTTGGACGAGGCCGCAGTCTGTGGTAGACCTTCCCTTCAGAGTGGTGGGGGTCTGTTGCCGCCCTCCCTGCAGAGTGAGCTCCTTTAGAGGAGAAGCTCTGGAGGGGCCCCGATTCCATGTGGCTCCTCCGTGAAGGCCTGGGACGCACCCTGGCCGTCTGTCCCCATTGGCCTCCTCAGGACTATCGGGGCCTCCTTGCCCAGGGACAGAGCGTGGCTGTGGAGCCGCCCTTCCCCACGCAGTGGGCCCTTCCAGCCCGACGTTAGATGTGCTTTTCCCAGGTGGAGAAATGAGCACAGGACTCGTCTCCCTTCCGGCTCCTGACCAGACACGGGGCCTCGGAGTTTCTAGAGTGGAGGCCCCTGCAGCCTGGGCTCTGAGATGAGGGTCTGCGCTGCACCCCCAGCCTCTCCTCCCTGCAGTGACGCTCGCTCATCTGGGTCCCCTGGGCAGGAAGGAACAGGGTTGCCCGTGGGGAGACAGGTGTACAGTTGCTTCTCGACAGGGGTGAGCTCGACAGTGGTACCGAGGCGGTAGCCAGATGGACTGTCCCACCACAGCCTTCCTCCTTCCCACGGCGCACAGCCGGTGCGTCCCCACCTTCATTTCCTGTCACCGGCTCTGCATATCTTGCACTTCTTCAAGGTTTCTCCCCTAGTAAGAGCTGGAAGGTTGAGATGCTCAGTGTAGGGGGACGCCCGGGCAGCCTTGCCGTGAGGAAGGTCAGTGAGTGATGTCCTTTACACGCCTGGGGTGGAGGGTGCAGCCCGGCAAACCCGGGCCAGTCAGGCCAGCCGTCCCCACGCGCCTGTGCCCCTTGGCGAGCGGCTCCCTGGGGCAGCGCCAGCTGTAGCTGCTGTCCTCCCTTGAAAAGCAAACTGCAGTGCGTCCTCTCTCCTGAGTCCCGTAGAGCATGCCAAGAAATGACAGCATGTGCCTTCGTTCTATGCTTCTCATGCCTTTTACCTTGTAATCCTGGGATTTATGTCCCTGGTCATGGGGGCCGCTTCCGAAGGGCGACTGACGGCAGCTTCCAGGTCAGCAGTGGTGGTAGAGCACTGCACGCACGAAGCGGCCGTGTCCCGAGACCCTTCCCCTCGGAGGGCAGGGGGGGCCTGGTACCGTGGCACGTTGTGTCTTGATTTCCACTCTGCCCTTGTGTTATTTTAAGGTTTTCGGATGTCATTCTGGCAACAATTTTGGCAACCAAGTCTGAAATGTGTGGCCAGAAATTTGAACTGAAGATTGATAACGTGCGGTTTGTTGGGCACCCGACACTGCTGCAGCATGCTCTGGGGCAGGTACGGCCCCCCCGGGCAGGTGGGGCTCTCCCCGGGCAGGTGGGGCTCTCCCTGTGCAGGCATGGCCTGTCCTGGCTCCGGGGCCCTCAGGGAGCTGTGACTCACACTGGTGAAGGCAGCCATCGCATCATGCTGAGTCCCTGACCCAGTGCACGCGTGCGCGCGTGTGTGTGTGTGTGTGTGTGTGTGTGTTCAGTGAGCTGCATATCCCCATAGGCCTGCCATGGTTTTTGCTCTTTGCATCCTGGGTTCTCCTGACTGCCACCTTCCCCTTTATATCTAGGACGTCCATCTCTGAAGTGGTGCAAGTCTTTTTTCTTTTTTTTTTTCTTTTTTTTTTTTTTAAAGATTTTATTTATTTATTTGACAGAGAGAGATCACAAGTAGATGGAGAGGCAGGCAGAGAGAGAGAGAGAGGGAAGCAGGCTCCCTGCCGAGCAGAGAGCCCGATGCGGGACTCGATCCCAGGACCCCGAGATCATGACCTGAGCCGAAGGCAGCGGCTTAACCCACTGAGCCACCCAGGCGCCCCAGCAAGTCTTTTTTCTTATTAGTTAAATGACATCATAGCAAATAGGATGATTAATTCAGTTCTTAGTGTTGCGCTAGACTTCTGGGATGAATGAAATGTTACGGTACTGAGGGGTTTTAACAAGATTGAGGGCACTATTACCCAAGGGAATTTGACACCAGAACCTGCTAGTCAGTCCTTTGCACACAGAATCAGGGCTTTGATAAGATGGGGTAAGATTCAGCTCTATTTATAGGATCCAGAAGCTGCAGTCCTCAAGTCTTTTTCATGAGTTTGCCTGTGGAAGGAGCTTCTGAAGGGGTTGGATGTTCCAGGATGGCAGTCCATGGCTGGGTGCACCGGGTCCCACTGGTGACACCTTCCTCTTTATCAGGCCCCTGTAGACAGGCCTCAGTCCCCACTGCTGACCTGCGGGTGGCAGGGGGAGATGGGACATCCTCCCAGGAGTCACAGCCTACCAAACCAGGGATGGTGACGGTCCTGGTGGGTTGGCCCAGGGAGATGTGGCCACCACCCCCGACCCCCCACCCCTGGACACACTCCTGTGCCCTCTGCTGGCAGCGTGTGTGACCGACCGTGGCTGGATGCCAGGCAGCGTGGTCCCGGCTGGCTCTGAGCGTTACCCTGTCTCTCCATCATCCGGAGTGGTTGCCCAGCCTGGTGGAGACGGACAGTGGAGACAGCAGTGGGGGAGGGAGGGTCTGGGCAGAGAGTATCCCATGTGCTCAAGCCTCTCCCCATCAAGCTCCCTTCCGTTGCCTGCAGTCATCTTGTCCCTTGGGGCCGTGGCATCGACCCTCCTGCTGTTGTCTCAGCCGCGTTTCCATCGGTCTGTGCTGCCCGTGCTTGCCCATGCGGAGGCGGTGGCCCCGTCTCAGAGACCCTAGGGCTGTTTTTTTCTGGGTGGACTACCCTCTGGAGCCTTTTCCTGTGCCTACACAGGGTTTCTTGGGACGTGGTGGCCCTCACTCATTAGATTGTATTTCTTTTCCAGGTTTCAAAAACAGACCCATCTCCGAAGAGGGAAGCCCCCACGATGATTCTCTTTAATGTGGTGTTTGCGCTGAGGGTGAGTAGCGCACGGACGGCTGGAGAGCAGGGCCCCGGGGCGGGGGAGCAGGGCCCAGGGACAGGCGCAGCCGTTCATCTCCGGTGATGGCGTCATTGGCTCAGAGCTCAGGCTGCGGGGCCGGCCCAGCAGCTGCCAGGCCCCTCCTGGGGTCCTGCGGGAGTTTACCCTTCCTGTGTTTTCTCAGTAAAATGCACATAATGTTTACTATCTTAACCATTTTACAGTGTACGGTTTGGTGGTATCCAGGAACAACATTGTGTAACTGTCACCACTGTCAGTTCCAGGACAGTTTCATTACCCCAAAAGGAGACCATGTACTCCTTATTTTCCCTCCTCTCCCGGCCCCTGGAAACCACCGGTGTGCCTTCTGTCTGTGGGCTTACCCGTTCTGCATTTGCGTAGAGACTGGATCCTACACTGTGTGGCCTTTGGCGTCTGTCTGCCTCCACGTGGCTCACGCACGTGGTAACGTGCCTGCCCCTCTCGTGGCGGCAGCGTGTTCCGAGTGCGTGGAGCTCAGCGGGCGCGTCTGTCTGTAGATGTGGTCGCAGATGCGCTGTCTCTGCGCACCGGCTGTTGGGAACGACGTGTGTGTGTCACTGTACTAGGGCCCGTGCTGTGACGGACATTTCTGTCCAGGTGTTTGCGTGGACGCCCGGTTTTCTTTCCCTTGGGCACACACACCCCGGAGTGGCATTGCAGTGCCGTGTTGAGGACGGGCGGGATGGCTGCCCACGGTGGCCCACCGTCTGCCTCCTCCGCACGGGCACTTGTGGTTCTCCGTGTCGTGTTTAATCCGTAAGCCTCGGAGTTTCTCGGGGAAGTTCCCAGACTGCCTGAAGTCGGGTTAGAGGAAGTTTCTCTTCAGAGGAGCTGTCGGGATCTGAGGGACCCACAGGAACATGAAAAGCGTCCCCGGAAAGCCTCACTGTGTTCCGAAAGGCCTGGGAGTTGCCCGGGAAGTCTGTCTGGTGGCTGTCCTGTGACGGGACCCCTCTGAGCTGCCCCACTGCCGGTTCGTACGCAGCGGTCCGTGTTCTTTCTGGCGGGCACGTGTGGCCCGCACGCTGGCTTCACAGAAGCGTCCCAGACCAGGTGACTGGGTCTCGGTGACACGGAGCAGCGTGCGCTCTTCCGCCCCTCAGAGTGGCCGAAATGACACGCAGCGCAGGGGACACCTGTAAAATGGGGAATCGTTCCACGTCTCGAGGTGCTTTTCTCTGGAGAGAAAACCACATTCACTGTGAGTGGCTCGAAACCACAGTGACACCAGGGCAGAGCCCCTTGGAGTGGGGCTCAGTCTTTAAAACTGGCCCGCGCTGCTGCGTTGAGACAGTGGTGGGTTAGCAGGGGCTGTCCCGGGCCTGCCGTTCCACGTGGAGACCTTTACTTTGTCATTTTGGCCTTTGCACAGTGTAAATAATGTCAGGTATGACTGACAAAATTACGTGCTGCACACGTCCACCAAGAGAACTCCAGTAAGTAAGAAACAAAACCCCCAAATCACGATGGAATGCTGTCGGCCTGTGAGCCCCGACAGTCCCTGCAGGATGGGCAGTGAGAAGCAGCCATGGGTCCACCCTGCATGCAGGCCCTGGTCTCAGCGGGACAGTGTGGGGGAGCAGACTGGGTGCCACCCCTGGACACTGCAGTCCGGAAAACAAGCGGATTCTGGAGCTGAGAGCAGACTTACAATAACGGCGAGGCTGGAAGCCTCGGGCATCCAGTAGTCGGGGCTGATGAGACGAGGGGTAGTCATCACACTGGTGCAGCCTGTGGCTGGCAGGGGTGAGGCGTGGGGGCCCGGCCCGAGCCTGGAGGAGGACGGGTGGATCGCTGCGCCGGGAAGCAATGCAGTACAGGACCTCACACAGCAGAGGCCGTGATGTTGAAGAGCGGGAGGAATTTTAAATGGTGTAAAGCATTGGTATTTTTAAGGTAGAGAGTTATTTTCTCCTTTTTAATAGTCATGAAAACATATAAAACATATATATATATATACTTTTCTACTTTGAAGAGTTTGTGTGTTTTTTTTTAAGATTTTTATTTATTTATTTATTTGACAGTTCACAAGTAGGCAGAGAGGCAGGCAGAGAGAGAGGAGGAAGCAGGCTCCCCGCTGAGCAGAGAGCCCGACGCGGGGCTCGACCCCAGGACCCTGAGATCATGACCTGAGTCGAAGTCAGAGGCTTAACCCACTGAGCCACCCAGGTGCCCTATTTTGAAGAGTTTTAAACAAACCGCCCACTAGTGACAGTAATAGTCTGACAACCCTCGTACACCCGTCTCTGATGTCCCCTGGCCGTCACCGACCTGCCCTGGCTTCTCCCCTGCCCTGTTGCTCAGGTGTATTGGGCAAGCCCTGCAGCTCATGTCCGTTCAGTTCTCCATACTGTGGGTGGCGTCTCTATCAACTGTGAATGCTGGTGTTATACCGTGGTACCTTTTCACCCCTGATAAAGTTCGCCGTGATTTGGTGTCAGCTAGTGCCTGGTGGCCATAGTTTTGGCTGCTGGCGTGTCTGGGCCAGGATGAAAACCTCGCCCTCATGAGTGTGTGGGCTGTGTCTGTGGGTCTCTGCCGGTCTCGGACCCTCCTCCTCTGGCCTGGTGGTGGTCCATGTTGGGGTCCCTCTCATTGTGCTTGCTCTGTGTGTGTGTGTTGCCTGCAAATCTGAAGGCCTCATTCTGTTTTGGTGAACTTTTGGGGAGCGAGAAAGTCTCACAGGCGATACCCTAAATTTCCTGCTGTTTCACGTCACCTGCGGGGCAAATGCGGCGTTTCTGAGTTTCCCCTCAGGGCCGGCATGTCCTCGGTGGTCCCTCTGTCCCTGTGGCCAGAGCGAGCCTTGGGCTCTGCAGGCACCTGTGTCTGTGGTGTCTGGCCTGTGAAGCCAGGCAGGACACCCCAGGGCACCCCATGAGGGCGGGCCAGCGGGCCTCGCCTGGGTGCGCACCCTGCTGCATGCCTGGGAATCTGGCCATCGTGGGCTCAGGCGTCTGACTTAAAATGCCGTGATGGCCCGCTGGTGCCTGGAGCGTAGGGTCAGGCTCTCCCGTGTGACTTGGTGGCTCAGGAGGGGGATAGCCAGGTGCATGGGAGCGTTCCTCCCCTGTTTGCTGCCGGGCCGGGACCGTCTGTGCAGACTCCTCTGCAAGTGTTTTGTCGGAAAGCTGCGGCACGTGCTTTCTGACCGAGGCCCTGTAGTTTCAGCGTCTCGCGGGGGCATTGCTGGGGGCCATGCTGGAGGGGCAGGGCTGCTGCTGGGTGCTGGGCAAGGCGTGAGGACAGTGTTTAGTCCTGTCCCCCGCACGGGTGCAGATTCTGTCTGTGAGCAAGACATCTGCTGGGAGCTCAGAAAATCTCTCCAAGTCCGGATGATGAAGGTGTTTACCCTGTTTGGTGCAGGGTTTGGTCCAAAAGGCTGGCTGTGGACACCTTGCTGGGGGGGCCCTGCCTGCCAGATAAACAGGAGGGGAGGCACCCCTGGGTTTAATCAGCGGTACCAGTGTCCCTCTCCCTTCTCCCACCTCCGCCCCTGGGATGACTCAGCAGCCCTCGCGGCCTCCTGAACCACGGAGTCACGGCTCGCTGGCTATCTGCTCCGAGTGCATCTTCAGACACCGTCCAGCCGCCTGCCCCACCCTGGCCCGGGCGGGTGTGGCTGCCTGGCCTCACTGCCCATCTGATAGGTTCTGGAGCTGGCGCGCAGGGGTGCCAAGGGAGCCTGCTGGCTTCAGTTAGCCATGTTTCTGCTGGGAAGCGCCTCTTCCCCTGAGGACAGTGTGTCCAGCAGATGGGGGGCCTGGAGCTTCTGTGTCTCGAGCTCCGTGTCCCTGTTGTAGTGGGTCTGTGTGGTTGAGTTCTCAGGAGGCCTGGTCCTGCCCACCAGCAGTGGCTGCACATGGGTGACCCTAAGCACTCTAGGGTTTGTGCCCTGCAGGGGCTCTGTCGGGCTAACTGCTGGGGGAGGTGCCGCTGTGGAGCATCTCCGGCGGGAGCCTGGGGTCCCACGGCGGGCGGGTGGTGGGATCTGTGCCTTCCGCTGCCCCGGCCCCCGGCGGGTTGCCCCGGGCCCGCCTGCATGGCCCTGCTGTGGTGCCCTGCCATGCCTCTGCTGATGGCAAATGCTGGGGGCCCCATGGAGCCGTCTCCGTGTTGCCTCCCGGGCAGCCGTTCCCCAGCTAGGACGCCACTCACAGCAGTGTTGCTGTGACGGACCCCAGAGGGGACACAGGCCCGGGGACAGCAGTGGCCCCTGGAGAGGACTGTGTGGACAAGGAGTCGAGCGGGTTCCTTCACGCCCTGTGGCCGGTGCGCCCGGTGTGCCCCTGAGTGCACGTGCCGCCTCCGAGCCCCCGCCCTCCCCCGCAGGCCAATGCAGACCCGTCGGTCATCAACTGCCTGCACACGCTGTCCCGGCGCATCGCCACCGTGCTGCAGCACGAGGAGCGCCGCTGCCAGTACCTCACGCGGGAGGCCAAGCTGATCCTGGCGCTGCAGGACGAGGTGTCCGCCGTGGCCGACGGTGAGTGCCACGGTGTGTTGGCGTGCGCGGCCCCACACGCAGGCACCGGGGGCTCCTGTGACCGTCTGCAGGTCATCCCTGGGCGCTCGGGAGGGTGCCCCACGGGATACGGCTGCCCCACGGGACACGGCTGCACAGCAGCCCTGAACTGACCCCAGAAGTGGATTTCCCGGCCTGATCCGCACCCCCCAGCGCCCGGCGGCCGGTGCACACACCAGGGACTTGCCCAGGGGCCATTGGGAATGCGGGGCTCGCGAAGCGGGCGCTTTCCAGTTCTCGGCTTCCTGCGAGCTGAGGGAGGACCTGACGGAGTCGCCAGCTGACCAGTTACTGGCTGCTGCGTGGACTTGGGCATCCCCAAACCACCTGTAAGCACGGGAACGCCGCCTGCCGCCCCCACACCCCCAACTCAGCTCGGGGCTCTGCAGCCGAAGGAGGCCGGACGCGGGTCTGAGGGTGAGCCCAGTCTGGCCGCGGCCGGACGTCAGAGTAGCGGTCGGCGGACGTGAGCTGGCCCTCTCGGGTGCGTTGTCAGTGAGAACTTGCTTTTTCCCTTGACAGCTCTCAGAATGTGTAAGTATGTTGTGGTCAGTTGTGTATTGATTAATAACAATCCACAAGTTTTGTTTAAAACAATTCTCTTTAGAATCTGACTTTATCACGGAAGAAATTTTTTTAAGATTTTATTTATTTGAGAGAGAGAGAGAGCACAAGCAGGGGGAGCAGCAGAGGCAGAGGGAGAAGCAGGCTCCCCGCTGAGCAGGGAGCCCATTGTGGGACTCCATCCCAGGACCTGGGATCTGACCCAAGCAGAAGGCAGATGCCCAACGACCGAGCCCCCAGGAGCCCTTACCACAAGAATTGTTTAGAAATTCAATTAACTACATATTTTAAGGTATTAATGATAAAGGACTAAGGAAAGACTTTTTTTTTTAAGGTTTTATTTATTTGGCAGAGAGAGAGACCACGAGACAGGGAACACAAGCAGGGGGAGTGGGAGGGGAGATCATGACCTGACCCGAAGGCAGATGCTTAACAACTGAGCTCCCCGGGTGCCCCTAATGAAAGACTTTGGATCCTAAAAATAAATGGCCCTGGTGTGAGTGAGTGGGATGAGGCCTGGAAGCAACGGCTCCGCAGGTGGAGGTTGTCTCTGGGGTCTGTGCTCTGGGGCCACCGGTGAACTCGCTGCGGGGCCAGGGGCCCCAGTGCCAAAATCTAACACATGACCCATCTAAAGGCCGTTGAACAAATCAGCCAAAGTCTCGTCTTCATTCAAGTGGGTGCACAGATTTTATAAAATACAGTGCGGGGTTCCCTGATGTTTGGTTCAAAATGACTTGAAATTGGGGCACCTGGGTGACTCAGTCAGTTAGCATCTGCCTTTGGCTCAGGGCATGGTCTCAGGGTTCTGGGATCGAGCCCCACATCGGGCCCCCTGCTCAGCGGGACGCCTGCTTCCCCTCTCGCTCTGCTTGTATTCTCTCACTCACTCTGTCAAATAAGTACATAAAACTGTATAAAAATAAATTAAAAAAGAAAACCGAGTTCAAATTTATTTTCAGTTAAACTTTAAGATTTATTTATTTGAGAGAGAGCACGTGAGTGTGGGGGGTGAGGGGCAGAGGGAGAGCGAGAATCTTGAGCAGACGCCCCGCGCAGTGTGGGGCTCGATCTCACGACCCCCAGATCATGATCTGAGCCAAAACCAAGAGTCAGATTTTGGACCCCCTGAGCCACCCAGGCGCCCAGTTAACCTTGTCCTTAGGGTATTTTCCGCTCTAGCCTCATATGTTTCCTGGCCTCGGAGACTCTCAACTCTCTGTGTTCTGGTCGTTGCAGCGAGTGACGGTCCTCAGTCCCCGTTTCATCATATCCTACCCAAGTGCAAGCTGGCCAGGGACCTCAAGGAGGCTTACGACAGGTGAGGCGGGCGGGGGGTGTGCCGGGGCACCTGCCGTGGGTTCTCCTGTTGTGCCACTGTGATGGGGGCAGGCGCAGACTGGGAGTGCCGGCCCCCAGCCCCTGGATTGAACCTGAAGTCACCGTGTCACGGTGCCAGGTTTGGGGTCTGCCTCCTGAGGTGGGTGTCATGTCATCACTTCGCTGAGGAGGAGGCTGAGGCTCCGAGGGCTCCCCAGATGCCCCCGTGGGACTTGGGGGCCGCGTGCAGGAAGGCGCAGGTGTTGCAGACACAGCAGAGCCTCACGGTTCTTCCCGTAGTATTGGTGTCTGCAGCCAAGGACTTCTTTTCACAGTGTGTCCACTGGTCCCCGACCCTGGGTCTGCAGTGCGGCTGGGAGGTGGGGGGCGGGGGCGCGGGGGATGGGCCCCGGCACGCTGTGCCTGCCGCCCTGCCCCAGGACTGTTGGTTCCCGAGGAGTCGTTGCCTGGACCGTGGTGCAGGCCGCTCTGGGCCTCGTCCTTGCACACCGCCCCGTGCCTGCCCCTGGCCTTCTCAGGCCTTCGTCCCATCTGCGGGCCCCATGCTCCCCACTGGAGGTGGGCTGGGCCTAAGAGCTGTGGCTGCCTATAGGACAAGTCGTCCAAGCCCAGAAAGGGTTTGTTTTGCGTTAGTCGTTTTCCTGATCTCAACCGTACACGCTCGTTATCGCTATTTAGGAAATCTAGAAAAGTGTCGAGAAAACAAAGCCCATCTCTAGTCCCATACCAGGGATTATTGTTAGGAGCATTTGGGAAATTTCCGTTCTTTTTGCTGTTTTAACGGAAGCTTTTGAAAAGGTCACACATCCCTCAGACCTGGAAATCAGAGTGTTGCGTTTGCTCCTGCTGTCCCTGCACCAGGCTCCGTCCGGCCCCGGTGGCAGGTGTGTCTCAGCTCCGGGCCACGTGCCAGCCGCCCAGGCGGGCTTGAGGCCACGCAGGTGAGCACTGGCCACCTCTGCCCCTTCACGCTGCGCGCACACACCGTCCCTGCCCTCTCCGCTCAGCGGTGTGGCCTCAACCCCGCTGTACTGGTACGTAAGGACTTCTCTGTTGCTGCCGCCCAGTTAGCCAGCCCTCTCCTGGGCCCTCCGTTGCCACAGCCTCCGGGCCTCTGGGGCCCTAAGACCTGCACCCACTGCGCATGTGAGGTTGTGCGTGTGCTCCTGACAGCGCGCCCTGTGACGCGGTGCACGTGCCTGGGGGGCTTGCGCCATGGGCCACACCCTGCTGGCAGCACAGGAGACACCCCTTCCTCTGGCTGTGCCGGCCCAGGGTCTCGGTGAGCGTGTGTGTCCACAGCCGTGTCCGGCCACCACCTGCGCGTCCCCCTCTCCTGTCCAGGGCGTCCTCAGACCCCATCCGCCGCTCTGTAGGAGGTAAAGGTGCCTTCGCCCCGGATGCAGAGCTGTCCTCTGCGATGGAAGCTGCGGCCCGTGTTCCTTCGTCCTGACCTCGGTGGCGGCGGGGGGTCGGCACGGGCGCTCCCATCCCGTGGTCCCCACCCCCGTTTCTCCCGCGGCGTCGCTCATGACCACGTTGAAGTCTGCTGCCCTCTGGTCTTGGGCTGGCTGGTGCTGGCAGTCACTTCCTGGGCGCCGTCCGGTGCCCGGCCTCCCTCTGTGAGGGTGGGACGAGAAGCGGTGCTCAGCCTGCCCTGGAGATAAATGCCAGACCGGAGCCAGGCTTGCCGCGTCGAAGGAAGGAGTGGAGCGTGACTCCTTGGGTTTGAGCTGCGGGTTGGAGGCTGTGAGGTCCGGGGTGCTTGGCCCACCTGCAGCCTGGACTCGAGGCAGCCCGGTGCCCCAGTGGGCACTGGATTGAGGGAGGCCAGGGAGCTGCGTTTCGGGGAAGAAACGGTGCCCAGGGTTCACTGTTGCGCCCCCGGCTGCTTCCTCCAGTCCAGGCGTCCTGGTGTGAGTGTTCAGGACCCTGTTTCCTCCTGGTGAAGACCCCGCCCGCCCTTTCCTGTTCGCAGACCCCACCCAGCCTCCTCGTGGGTCCCGGGCCCACCTCTGTAAGCCAGCAGCAGAGCCCCTCTGGTGGGACGCCCGGGGACAGCGGGGTCCTCCCCCACACCCTGTCCCAGCCTGCCCGTGGCAGTGGCTCTGTGACGGCCCAGGAGCAGCCCTGGCCTGGGGCCTTCCCTGTGCCTTGAGGTCTGGCCTGGCCCGCTGCTGCAGGGGCTTAGCTTGGAGCTGAGAGAGGGCGCTGTGCGTTTACGGAGTGACCCAGAGGCACAGAGCCGCTTCTCCCCGGGGCAGTGTTGCAGCAGGGCTGCGAGGGTTTTGTCCGAGCAGAGGTGAGACCCGGAGCTGCAAGGTGTGGGGGTGGAGATCCGGGTGAGACATCAAAGGAGCTGTTCTGGACCAGGTTCTTTTTTTTAAATTTCATTTGTTAATTTGTCAGAGAGAGAGCACAAGCAGGGGGAGCCGCAGAGGCAGAGGGAGACGCAGGGAACCTGACCCAGGACTCGACCCCAGCAGACACTTAGGCACCTGAGCCCGCCCAGCCCCCTGGGATGTGCTGCTTCACGTAAAACCCACGGCCGTGGCGTGGCCGATTGGCCTGGGGTCCTCGCGGCCCAGGACCCGAGTGTCTGTGAGGAGGGGCCGGCAGCATGAATCCCTTGGGAGCCTGCCCTGACTGTTGTGGCATCTGTGTCCCCTGTGGGGCTAGGTGACCTCAGTGACTGCCCCACGTGTCTGTGTGACCGTCAGGTTGTGTCTCCCGTGAAGTCAGGGGATGTCCCTGCACTTCCTGGAACAGACCTTGAGGCTGGCCTGGGGGGAAGCGCGGCTGGTGGCCCACCGGTGGTCGAGGGAATGAGTGTGCAGCAGTCACAGTATTGTGGGCCGCGGGCTTGACGGTGTGTGCCGGCTGGTTTTCAGAGGTAGCGGGGCCTGTGGTGGGGCCGGGAGGCTCAGAGCTCGGGGGACAGCCCAGGGCCAGTCCGGGTAGGTGGCCTTGGGAACTCTGTGCTGGTTCATTGCTGCCTCCCACTGCCGCCTGCTCGGAGCCGAGATGCACCAGAGACACCTCCGCCAGCGTCCTGGGAAAGTTAGTCTCTTCTACAAGTCCCACTTCTGTAAACCTCTGAGCCCACTCGGACCTCTTGAATGTGTACGTGTCCCCGCTGCGTTAGCAGGAAGGCTGGCTGTGTGTGGGACCAGAGTGTCGGTGGGCACTGGGTGGCAGGGAGGAGGGTGACCGGGAGACCAGAGAAGGAGGTCTCAGCTCTCAGCTCAAGGGTTAGGAGCTGAAGTTGTTTCTGCGAGGGTGGGAGGAGAGGGTAATGCGGTAAGGGCCACGCGCCACCTTCCGTCTGGGGCATGAGAGATAAGGGCGTGCCTTCAAGGCCAGGTGTCGCCTCCTGCGCAGTCATCGCCTTGAGACCCGAGCGTTATCTCCTGTGGCAGACGGGGCTGGGCCCCCCTGTGTGGCCCAGAGCCGCGTGGCAGGCAGGATAAGCCTCACGCAGGGGCAGCACTCTTCGTACAGTGTTTCCAGACCAAACATGACTGCCAGGCAGACAAAAGTACAGAGTGGGAGCCGTGCAGGCGCCAGACCCCTGCTCCGCACCTGCTACGGCGTAGGGAACTGCCCCGTGATGCCGCAGGGACGTTGTTCGGTGACAGGCGGCGACGGCACACACGGGGCTGGGCGCGAGTAACGTGGGCAGCGGACAGCAGCTGTGTGTCAGCTGCTGTGCGGTACCGACAGATACACACACGAGACGTAGCCTCCCAGGTTTTTCCGAGGGGGCGCCCTCCATCCTGCAGGGTCAGAGAAACGGGCCGCACTTCTGAAACAGAGACGCAGCCGTTCCCCTCCTCTTGGCTCGCCTCTTGGGGCAGGGGCACTCCGGGGCTTCCCCTTCGCCGGGAGCTTGTGTGGGTGGGTGTATTCTGCTGGGTCTGCTCGCGGCATCTCCGTGCACAGTGCTCCGTGGGCGCACGTGGCCGGGGGGGCGAGCAGTGCCTGGGGGCGCGGAGCAAACTGCACGTGAGACCCAGGGAGCGCCGTGTGCGCGTCCCCCCTGCTCCGGGGCGAGGACCCCGTGCCCGTGCGTGCAATGGTGTCGCCCAGCTCCTGGGGCAGCGGAGCAGCTGCGTGGGAAACAGCAGGAGTGTTAGGGCTGACTCCGGTTCCCGGGTGTGGCCGCCATGCCTTTGAGCCGCGTCCTAAGGACGGCTGCTTGGAAGCAATCCTTTTTTTTCAGTCCACCGGCCTTTCTGTCCAGGTGCCCGGTGGGACGGAGGGGCCTGCCCACGTCAGCTTTCAGGCTCGCTCTCCCTGCGGCCCTGCTTTCCTCTCTCTTCTCTCCGTTTTGTCCGTGGATGCTGAGAACCTCATCCACCCAGTGGTTCTCTGGTGCTGTGACCTCTGACTTCGTGAGCCGCCATTTCTCAGGTTTGGTGGCAGCTGTCCTCCTGCAGATGCCCTTGCCCAGAGCTTGCTGGGGCTCTGGGGACCGCCATCTCCTATGGACTCCTGAGCTCTCCGCTCTTCTGGGCCTTGGTGAAGGATCCCGGGTCTCTTCCGAGAGCGTGACGCTCATCAGACCCACTCGTAGCTGTCACCCTGAGGGACTGTGGCATCCATGGTGACCAAAGCTTTGCCTTCTGGCCTCAGCCCCACCTGAGGCCCCCACCCTCGCAGCCGTGGGTGCTCTGACCCTCCCTCCGGGGACGGCTCGTGGTGCAGACGTCCAGGGAGTGTGGCGTGGGTTCCCTGCTGACTCCAGGCAGGGCTGGTGGAGGGTGTCTGGGAGTCGTGGGGCAGCGGGCAGATAGATTGTGGTGTTGGCAGGAATTCTGGGGGTCGTCGAGGTCACAGATGTGCGTTTTGTTCCCCCACGGTTTGTTCTCACGAGAAAAGGGCTGACACAGATTCTGCCGGCTCTTTGGGTGGACCCTGGAGAAGCCTGTGGTAGTTGTTCTGCTGTTTGAGGCTTCAGGGACGCCATGGTAGGAACAGCCTGGGGGTGTGGGCGGTGAGGGCCACAGGGCCGTCTGCCAGCACTGTGCATTTTGTGTGCCCCGAGGGAGGGCTGAGACGGGGCCTTCCTGAGCCCCGGCCCGCCGCACACTTGGCCGGATGTGGGCGTCTTGGCCTCTCCAGCTGCTTGGGAATTGCAGAGTGGGGTTGGAATGTGAGGGGAAGAAGTGGGCTGGGCCAGGCCAGACCTTGACAGGGGCACCCGTCCCCATCTTGTCCACCTGCTGGGGGTTTGGTGAGGACCAGTCATGGGCACTTTGCCCAAGTAGCCCCTTCTCCTCCGTGTCAGATCCCAAGTGCTGTTGGCACTTGGCTCAGGAGCCGGGCACCGGGCTTGGAGTGCGGTCAGGCCGGCTTCTCACTGGAGGGTTTCAGAAGCACCTGCTGGAGACGACTCCTATGTGTGTGGTTCTTGGGGGCAGGGCATATGGGGCCGCATGCCCCCTGGGGGGCTGCCAGGAGCCTGTTCCCTGCGCGGGGGCTTCCCGAGGGAGTGTCCCTCCAGAGTCAGAGTGTGTGCCTTCCTCTGTCCCCGAAATGGCCCTCAGTGCCCCCAGGTACCCAACACTTGACCGGCTGTGTCAGGGGGAGTTAGCACTAAGACCAGAGCTGGTGACCGGGTTCTGGCCAGGGAAACGGCACCCTCTAGCAGACACGTAGGTGCCTCCAGACACGTGGGACCACACGGCAGTTGGATTGCCTGTGGGGCTGGGGCCGGGTCAGGGCCCACCCCACCGAGCAGGTGGTGCTTGGAGTGAGACCTGAAATGGGAAAGGAGCCCAGGGCGCCCAGAGGAAGCCCCAGAGGCCGAGAACAGCAGAGTGGTTAGGTGCATCCAGACGGCCTGGGGTGGGAGATGAGGTCGGGGGAAGAGTGGGCAGGTCATGTGAGTCTCCTGGCATTTGGGGGCCTTGGCTGGGACTGCCGAGGTCGGATCTTTGAGGGTCTGGGTAGGGAGGGTGGACCGGGGGGGCTGGTGCTGAGAAGGTCTGGACCTTGTACCTCCCTGTAGGTAGAGCAGACAGGATTTGCAGGTGGTCAGGGTGGGATGTGGGAGAAACAAGGCTTCAGGGGCAGGGGGCTTTACGGGACCTGAGTCGAGTTTGGCCCTGAAAGAAACAGGCTGCCCTCAGCAGGGAGTGGGGGAGCGAGAGGTTTGCAGCTGAGGCTGGTTTGCTATGGGATAGCTGGCGTGCTGCTGGCTTCTGTAGGGAGCCGGGTGCCCTGTGCTCCTCCCCGACAGGACTCTGGGGGCTTGGCACCCCCCCACCTTTCCCCTGCTGCCCACCTGTCCTTTCCAGAGATTGGCCCTGCGCTCCTGGCCGCCCAGCTGCGACGGGGCATTCCTGGGCTGTGCAAGGGCCTGTGCCGAGGTGGCCCCTGAGCCTCGGACTGACGAAGAAGAGGCTTCCCTGAGCCCTGGTGCTCCGGTCAGACTGCAGATTCCCGGGCTCCCCAGAGACATCTGTGTATATGTGTGTGTGTGTTTTCTTCTTGTGAACACCCTGCCGGCTGGGAGGTGCTCTCTGGCCATCACATGCGGTTTGCTCGGGCTGCAGAGCTGGGGGCCTCCGGTGGGGCTGGTGGGCTTGCAGTGAGCGTGTGGGTTTGCAGGGGCACTGGCGGTAACGGGTCCGCTCTCCACAGCCTGTGTACGTCCGGTGTGGTGCGGCTGCATGTCAACAGCTGGCTGGAGGTGAGCTTCTGCCTGCCCCACAAGATCCACTACGCCACCTCCAGCCTCATCCCCCCCGAGGCCATCGAGCGGAGCCTCAAAGCCATCCGGTGAGTGCCAGCCCTGCCCTCTGCCTGCGGGCCCTTCCCCGGAGCTGCTGCCTCAGGCTCCCCTGTTGCTGCCTTTGGGAGTCCTCCTTTCTTCTTCCTGCCACAGCCTGTGGCAGGTAAGGCCCTATGCGGAGAGAAGGGAAGGTACCTATTAAGGGGTCTGCTTTTTGTCCAGACGGGACCAGCCACAGGTGTCCTCTGGGCCCTCTCAGCACTGCCGGGGCGACGAGGCTCTGTGCTCCCGGGTCTTCAGTCCCGGCCTGGGACGTGCGGAGGGGCCCAGCATCCTGGCGAGAAGCCAGACTGGGGGAGGAGTGTGCCCTCCCGGTGTTGCTCACTGGAGCACCGCATCCGAATCAGAACTCGGGGAGCTCAGCGTCTTAGTTTAACTGGTTTCCTGCAAGGAAAGAGCTGAGCTGTTTTTGCAACCCCCCTGCCCAATTAAAGTCTCTTGTTTTCTTAGATACTTTTATGACTAAAAAAAGAAATCTGGGCACATTGCAGAAGATTTGGAGACGAGAGGAAGCAGGGCACTACCTCGCCCTCTCTCCCTTGCCCAGTCTGTGCTCTAAGTGTGTGTTCTTCCTCCTGGACTTATTTGCTGAGTATATTTTTATGTAGTTCTGTTCATAGCTGCTGTGGGGATTTTGCTTTTCCATATTTGGGACTCTTTGCTTGGAAAAGATTCATGTATTTTTTCAGTGAGCAAATGTTTGCTGGGCAGTCCCAGGGAGGGGAGATGGAGTTGGGTCGTCGAGCCTTCCTCCGCCTCTCTGTTCCCGTTGTTTTTTCTGAGGGTCGTAGTAATCCCTGGGGGCTTTTAAAGGCCCTGGACACACCACTGCCCTTCTGTCTAACTGTTCCGGTGGCCTCTTCTCTCGGGTCCAGTGTCGCTGGGGCCCAGGTACGTGCCTGGTCAGTTGACCTTGGACTCTGCTCTGCAGCCCGTACCACGCTCTGCTGCTGCTCAGTGACGAGAAGTCCCTGTTGGGCGAGCTCCCCCTCGACTGCTCCCCGGCCCTGGTGCGCGTGATCAAGACCACGTCTGCCGTGAAGAACCTGCAGCAGCTGGCCCAGGACGCAGACCTGGCCTTGCTGCAGGTAACGCCCTGTGGGCCCGGGACACGCCCTCCATGGGGAGAATGGTGGGGGAGGGGGGCACCTCAGAGGGGGGCACCTCAGAGCAGGTGGTCCTTGGGTGGAGGTGGGAGGTCAGGGCGTCAGGAAAGCAGACTGCCTATGTGCCGTGTCCCCAGGACCTCTGGTGAGGGGCCCCTCATGGCCTGCTATGGGGGAATGGGTCATTCCAAGCTCTGGAACCTGAGGCCTGGCTTCAGGGCTGGCTTTCTGAAGTGGCTGTGGGGCTGACGTCATCTTCTGTGCCAGCAGTCAGGAGGCATGCGGCCCTCCAGGTGCAGGGGGCTTGCCGGGCGCCACTCTGTGACAAACCGGTGGCACGGTGTACTTCGCGGGTGTGGGAGGTGAGGGCCCACCTGTGTGCAGAAGCGGGACCTGACCTGGGGGCCCTGACCAGTCCCCTTGTGTGCGCGGTGAGGCCTGTGTTCTGTGTGGGGTCCTCCGCTTGCTGAGCCGGGCGCCTGTGCCTGCGGTTTCTCTTTTCGTGGTTCTGAGACTTGTTTGTTTTCGAGAGAGAGTGCACAGGAGCGCGCGTGAGCTGGAGAGGCGCGGGCGGGGAGTCCCGGCCAGGGTCGGTCTCACGGTCTCACGTGGCTGAGATGCTGACCTGAGCGGAGAACGCGCGGAAGGCCCAACCGACGGAGCCGTCCGGGCGCCCCCACAGTTTCTGATGGCATGCAGGGCCCCTCCGTCCCGGCTGTGGCCTGGCTGGAGCCTGGGTGGGGGTCAGGGAGTGCGGATAAGCCCAGGAGGAAGCCGAAGGTCCCAGGGCAGTTGTGCCTTCCGGACCACTGAGGGCAGGACCCGGGTCTGGGTCTGTGGGCACCATGTGGCCACCAGGGGGCAGCAGGACCTGGCCCGGGAGCGCGGCTCTCTGAGGCCATCTAAGGAAGAGGAGCCCAGGGGTGAGACTGGCGGACCTGGGCGCCCCCTGTCACCCCCCGGGAGGTAGGCCTTTGGCCTTTGGTCGTTAGCGCGGTGAGGGGGGCTGAACTCCCGGGCCTGTGTCTCCCAAAGCAGCATTTTCTGGTTCTGCCGTCCAGGGCGAGTCCTTCCCTGTGGGTTCCCCATGCGCTTTGTCCATCCCCTGTGAGACTGGCTACGTACGGGTTCTGCACTCGTGCACCGTCACCCGGACTCCTGGACTGGGGGCCCCGCTGTCCTTCGCAGCATCCATGAAATGGGCCTGATGTGCAGGTGGCTCCGTCCACGCCGCAGAGCTCGTGCTCTGACCCATCCGGGCTGTGCTTTCAGAGCTTTCCGGCTTCTCGGTATCTTCAGACACAGACTAAGCTTGGTGACACCCCCTTCACGTCCCTGCCCAGCCTTGCTGTGGGGAGATCCTTTCCCCTGCCATCACTCGGCACTGAACGCTGTTCGAAACAGGCTTTCCTGCTGGCTGCTGGTCGGCCTTGCCGGCCTCTGCAGTCACCCCCTGGGGCTTGAGGTCAGCAGAGCTGCCCGAGGCCCATTGGAGCCCCAGGCACGACGGCCCCACGAGGGAGAAAGTGTCAGCTTCAGCGTGCATGTCCTCAGGTGACTTACTGTGACTTGAGCTCTCAGGGTGCCCAGCCGGCTGGGTCGATGGAGCACGTGACCCGATCTTGGGGTCATGAGTTTGAGCTCCGCAGTAGGTGTACGGATTACCTAAGAAAAAATAAAGTCTTAAGTGATTCATGTTCCATCATCGGCAAAGTCAGTATTTTGGGCTTTTCTTGTTTCACTTTTTTTGTTTAACTGTAATTAACATATAGTGTTGTCTTAGTTTCAGGGGTCCGGTGTGGTGAGTCTGTGCTCCCCAAGATAGGGACACTGTTGTGTCCTTCACCTGTCTCCACATCCTCCCACCCTCCTGTCCTGTTTTGGGGTTTCTTGTCGTGATAAGGTTAATACATTCTTAGAAAGATTCAAACATCAGGGGCACCTGGGTGGCTCAGTGGGTTGAGCCTCTGCCTTCGGCTCAGGTCATGATCTCAGGGTCCTGGGATCGAGCCCCGCATCAGGCGCTCTGCTCAGCGGGGAGCCTGTGTTCCCTGTCTCTCTCTCTGCCTGCCTCTCTGCCTGCTTGTGACCTCTCTCTCTGTCAAATAAATAAATAAAATCTTAAAAAAAAAGATTCGAACATCGCGCACATTAGAGGCACGGAGAGTCCTGCAGTCCTGTGTCACAGAGGTCACTGCTGGAGAGTCCTCCGGACCTTCTGCGTGTGTCCCTTCTTCACATATTATCTCTGGATCACAGAACCGGGATCGCACTGTCCATCCCTTGTGATTGACTCCCCACAGACCTTCACATCCTATTCCTACGTCCTGCCACTGCATCTGCACAGGGGACTTTGTAGATGGTGAAGGGTTTTGAGGTGGACCGTGACCTTGGGTTGTCCCTGCCGGGCCCTTGTGAGACATGGCCAGGGGGTATGACCACGGAGGCAGGGAGTGGAGGGAGGTGGTCACGTGCCAAGGAAGGCTGCCACGAGAGGGGGCAGGGCAGCTTCTCCCCCAGAGTCTTCAGGGAGCGTGTCCCTGCTGAGAGCTGGACTCCGGCCTGTGGCACGAGTTCAGACCTCTGGTCTCCGGAACGGCGCTCTGGCTGTGGGGAGTGGTGGGAGGCAGGCACTACAGGGGAGGGCGGGGGCAGATGGAGGAAAGTGGCGTATCCTCGCTTTGGAGCCGGTGTCAGTGGGACTTGGGGTGAGAGAGAAGACCAACAGTGACAGCTATGGTTCCGGCCGTGTGGGCTCTGGTGTCCTGTCTGCTGAGGTGAGGTGCCAGTGCACGGAGCAGTGCCCCAGCCTCAGTGCTGGCCTGGGGAGGATCGTATGGGACAGGGTCCATGGGAATTGAGCGTCCCGGACCACACCAGGGACCAGTGATAACGAGGGTGGTTGTGTGTGCTGTGCCAGATGCCCAGGTGGGGGTCGGAGAGTCAGGCACTGTCCTCCCAGCTCCCGCTGTTGGCAGGTTTTCCAGCTCGCCGCCCACCTGGTGTACTGGGGCAAGGCCATCATCATCTACCCGCTGTGTGAGAACAACGTCTACATGCTTTCTCCCAACGCCAGCGTGTGTCTGTGAGTACCTCCGGCTGCCAGAGCCCAGGACGCTGCTCCCTGCTCCGCCGGGCCCTCACTTGGGCGTGCTTGCTGGCCTCTGCCGTGTCCATGTTCTGATTGTGGCCTGCCCCGGGCCTGTGCTCTTCCGGCATTCAAAGCCCCCGTGCAGGTTCTGTGCTCCCTCACACCCGCTGGCCGGTGGCGTTGGGTGGGACGCCTGGTGAGGGCTGGGAGCCTCGATCCTGACTCGGGGGCTTTGCCCTCTGCCCGTGGCTCTCGCTGCCCCTCGAGGGAAAGCACCTGGGTTTGTCCTTATGACTCCCACCCTGGGCACCTGCTATGCTGTGCCTCCCTGCCGCCCAGCCTGGGCTCACGGTGAGGGCACGGCTGTCCAGAAGCGACGGAGAGGCCTGCTGAGCTCATGGGCACGTCGCCTCACCTGTCCCCAGGTACTCCCCATTGGCCGAACAGTTCTCCCGTCAGTTTCCGGCTCATGACCTGCCCTCTGTCCTTGCTAAGTTCTCCTTGCCCGTCTCCTTGTCAGAATTCAGGAACCCCCTCGCCCCCCCTGTGCAGGAGGTAAGTTGCAGGAGTCCGGGGGCTGGGAGCCACCAGCCCAGTATCCGCTCCTCATCCCAGGGCCCTCAGTGCTGCTGCACTCCTAGCCTGGGTTTTGGGAGGAAGGGGCTTGGCTGTGTCATGCCAGGGTGACCAGGAGCTGGCTCCCCAGCAGGCCAGCTGCAGACCATGGGGCAGTCCCAAGTCCCACCCTACCCCGGTGCAGGCCGCCCTGACTGCCTAGGGCTGAGTGGTTAGAGCCCTTAAGCGGCCCAGGTGACAGGAGAGTGGTGACCTCTCCTGAGGGGATGCCAGGTCAGCTTTGTTTTCACTGAGCTTGGGCCCTGCTTCCTGCTCTCTCCCCTCCGTGGTCCGGAACTCACCACAGGGCATGTGCGTCTAAGTCCTGAGCTCCCTGACCCCCAGAATGTCCTCATCCGGGAAGATCTGGAGGGGACAGGCCTGGCACAGGCCCCAGTGGGACCACTGGGGGTGGCAAGGGCTCATCTAGGAAGGTATGAAGTGTATGGGATGAACAGGTGAGTTCTGGGTCAGGTGCAGGCTGGGTCCACAAATGAGCCTCTGCCCTCCTCCCCTGTGCGGAAGGCCTGGGGCCCTGCGGCTGGGGCAGGGGCGGCGCAGAGCCAGGGCCAGGGTGGGGCGGGTGTTGGGCGATGGGGCTGGATGCTGTCAAGGCTTTGTTTTCAAGAGGAAAGTATCTTTTTAAATAAGTGTGAGATCTGTGGGGCAAAACCAGTCCTTCAAAGGAAACCCTTTTCCTTCTTAAGTTGTGAATGACAGGAGATCCTGGTTCGTGAGTTCATTCAGATGCTGAGCTGAGGGAGTTCTGACGGCCTCTTTCATGGGGCCTTCGGTTTCCAGGAACCGTGCCAGGCTGTACCAGCTGGATAAAAGCCACACTCTGCATCTGTGCCCCACGTCCCCCAGCAGAGCCGTCCTCACGGGCTGGACGGCAGGTGGATTTCCCAGGCCAAGCCTGGGGGGCCGCCGTGTGCTTGGTCAGGGGCTCAGACGGAGCTGGGTTTGGTTCCGCGCCGTCCCCGGGAGAGGCGTCTGCTTGTCAGGCCTCCTGCTTCGGGGCCTGGAGTGCACTCGTTAGTGCTCACGAAGCCTCTTTGTTTTATTTTTTAATTGTAACTCTTTTGCAGTCCTTTTCCATTTTACTTGGTTTGACCGGGTCATAACGTGCCCGTGGTACCTGGTGCCTCCCTGTTCCGTGCCTGGTCAGTCGTCCCTTCCCAGGAGGGACTCCCAAAGCCAAGCAGGCAGATGTGCGACCTTCCTGCTCGCCCGTGCTCACACCGGGCCTGCACAGGGCTCCTCGCTGGCCGTGGTCAGGGGCCGGTCCCCGGCGGGAGGGGTGGCCTCCATGTGCCGGGACCACACGGCTCACCGGGGCTCCGTGTCCGGGGGCAGGCCTCCAGGCCGAGCCAGGGAGAGGCCTCGGTGCTGTCAGAGCGGCTGCCTGCAGCGTCTTCCTGGGCAGTGTCCAGGCCACCGCCGGCAGGTCCCTACGGGCCCCGCTCCGTGTGGTGGGGGGTCTGAGTGACGGGGCCCTGTAGTCGGCCCTGCTGCTCAGCTCTGGGCGTTGAGAGGCCCGATGCTGGCGCCGCCCAAGTGCGCGGTGGGAGCAAGTGCAGGTGCGGCCCTTGGGCTCCTGTGGCCTTGCGCGGAGCAAGGAGCTGGTCTCGGCTGGCCGCTGACAGGTCCTTTGCTGAGGTGGGGATCGGGCCTCTCGAGCTCAGGAACCCCTCACCGCTGGCATGACTCGTGGGAACCCTGGTTTCAGTCATGGCCCCGGGTGCTCCCCACAGGGGGACAGGGCCGTGGTGGGGAGCAGCCCCCCTCCCCCACCCTGGGCCACCTGCGGCTTCTTCTGCAGACCCAGCTCATTCAGATGGTGGTGTGGATGCTGCAGCACCGGCTCCTGGTGCAGCTGCACACCTACGTGTGCCTCATGGCCTCGCCCAGCGAGGAGGAGCCCCACGCCCGGGAGGATGAGGTCCCCTTCACTGCCAGGGTCGGCGGCCGCAGCCTCAGCACGCCCAATGCTCTCAGCTTCGGCTCCCCAAGTAGGAGCCCCCTGCCCCGGGCATCTGTGTGGTGGGTGGGGTGGTCGGGAGGGCACCTGGGCATGGCGGCGGGATCCCGACGTGGGTACTGCTAGGCGTGAGCGAGGCACCTTCCCACGGCCGCACGTGTGCACAAACACCCGCCCTTTATGTGGGCCGCTGGGGCCTCGCACAGGCAGCCGCTGTCCCCCGCTGAGCCGCTCTCCTTCGAAGGAGGCAGGAGACCCTGCTCCCTCGCCTCCCTGCCACTCTGTGCCTCTGGGCTCCGGAGCAGGGCCTCGTTCAAGTCAGGAGCAGCCTGGGATCTGAGTCCCTGGGAGGGTAGTTGGGCTCGCTGGGCCGGGGCCTGTGAGGGGACACGGACTCTCACAGTCACTTCTTGGCAGAGCCGTTGTGGCCGCCACATGTGCCCAAAGGACGCGGTCCATCACCAAGCCCCAGGTGCCCCGGGCTCCCCCAGGCTCGAGGGACACGAAGGACTGGAACTCGACTGAGGCCTGACCTTATCTTCAGGTTCAGTGCGAGGACCAGCCTTGCCCGGGGCCCGCCCTCGTCCCTCTTGGGTGGGAGGGGTGGGATGAGCAGGCCTGCCTTGGGGTGTGGCAGCAGATTCCCGGTGGACACAGGGGCACAGCGGGTGCACCAGGGCGTGTGTGGGGGGACTGGCTGCCCCCTGACCCGTGCCCACCACAGCCAGCAGTGACGACATGACGCTTACTAGCCCCAGCATGGATAACTCCAGTGCGGAGCTCCTGCCCGGCGGGGACTCTCCCCTCAACAAGAGGATGACAGAGAACCTGCTGGCCAGCCTGTCTGAGCACGAGCGGGCGGCCATCCTCAGCGTGCCTGCGGCCCAGAACCCCGAGGACCTCCGCATGTTTGCCAGGTGGGGGCAGGGTGACCCCGGGTCTGGGCCGGTTCTGGCGTCAGAACAGAAGGCGGGTGGGGGCTTGGCCGGCACGACGCGGCTTCCATCCCGTGATGACCACCGGCCGTTGCTGGTGGCGGTGGTGTCTTGGGCATGAGGTGTCCCCCGCTGGTGCCTGTGATGCCAGGCCTGGGGCCTCTGCCTGTGAGGTCTCTCCGGGACTTCCTGGTGCTTCCCGTTACTTCTTCGGAAGCTGCAGCATGTTCCTACCCTCTCGAGGCCTGTGGGGATCTTCCGCACCGGGAAGGCTCTTCGCCCGGGCTGGGGTTGGTGGTGTCCAGGACCCCCACATCATGGGTGACAGACTGTCAAACCCGGCTTTGACTTGGGGGGCTCTGCGGGTGTTGGGTTTCCGGGGGGGGTGAGGCTGCCCGGGGAATCCCCCAGTCAGGAACCGCATGCCAGGCAGCTGGGCCCAGGCCTCTGCGCCGGCCCCAGCCACACACAGCCCTAGAGCAGTGACCCCGTCTGGGCCCATAGCCACACGGGAGCCGCTGCCACAGCAGCATGACAAGAAGCCCCTGGCAGGCCTGTCTCCCTGCACTCCCCCGTCAGGGTGCCAAGGGCGGACGTGGCCTTCAGGCTCGTGGTTCCAGGGTGTGAACAGGGCCCGCGAGGGCAGCAGGCCTGGAGCCCTCACCCGCCCCTTCATCCCTGCCGGGTCGGCGCAGGACTGTGGGGCGCTCAGTGCAGACCCCCTCCCCTGGCTGCCTGGCCTCACCCTGCCCGCCCCTCGCCCCAGGCTGCTGCACTACTTCCGCGGCCGCCACCACCTGGAGGAGATCATGTACAACGAGAACACACGGCGCTCCCAGCTGCTCATGCTGTTTGACAAGTTCCGCAGCGTGCTGGTCGTGACCACCCACGAGGACCCCGTCATCGCCGTCTTCCAGGCGCTGCTCCCGTGAGGCCGGGCCCAGGACGATGGCAAGGAGGCAGGCGGCTACCGTGGGCGCTGGGCTGTCCCCCTGCCCCAGGGCTCCCCATGCCCCCTGCCAGGCTGAGCCCTCTGAGGCCCTAGTGGAGGCCAGCAGCAGCCTTAGGGCCACTGCCTTCCCTGTTCTCATCCTCACCTGGTCCTTCAACAGCCTTGGTGTCTGAGCTGAGGAGACGAGGCTCCAGCTGGAGGGAGTGTCCAGGACTCAGGCCTGCCGGCTTCCCACGCAGTCAGGCCGCGTGCTTCTCTCAGACCCTCCTCCCAACCCTGCCCTCGTTCCCTGGTCCCCTCCGCTGCTGCCTTCCCCACGGCCACCCTGGGACTTAGAGAGAACCGTGTCTGACACGAGAGCGGAGGAGAGCCTGGCCGTGCTGTGTGCCCTCTGCTGCTCCAGTGAGCCCTGGGCCTTTCCCAGCCTGGCCCCCTGCAATGGCTCTTGTGTTCACCAGGAGCCTCGTGACCAAGCTGTCGCCACCACCACCACCCCCGCCCCGGGACTCCTGCTGCACAAGGGCCTGGGCCGATGCCTGTCTTTGGGGTGAGTCTGCCCTGGTTCCCTCTGGCCTCCCTCACAGAGGCCTGAGGGACAGTGTGCACAGCCTGCACCCGCGGGGCCTCCGGAGTCCGGTCCTGGAGGGGGAACCGACCGCAAGCACATGTTGACCCCTGAGGGGGCTCTGGCCGAGACACAGGCAATAATGTTTTCTAGACATAAAGTGTTTATTGGGTTTTTACAGAATTAAAAAGCCTTGTGGGAGCAGACGCTCGCCGAGGGCCCGCTCTGCTCAGCCGCTCTGTCCACCACGCTGACCCAGGGGCTGCCCTGGACATAGAAGCGCAGGGGCTTCTGGGCCCACTCTCCTGCCTGGCCGATGCCCACGCGAGCAGCCGCCACCACGGCAGGCTCACTGGTCTCCGGGGCGCTGCGCTCCATCCACACAGCCGTGTCGGTGGCCAGGTCCCGCTGGTCAAAGCTCTTGTCGATGGCCAGGGCCTGGCACAGCTTGGAGGGGCCGCTGCACAGCTCACGGTCCTTGAGGGCTCGGCCCGCGGTGCCCTTGCGGAGGGCGCTTCGAAGCTGCCGCATGGTCTCCAGGCCCCCCAGGGGCTCCAGTGCTCGCAGCAGGACACACGCTCCGTCCCCTGGGGGACAGACAGACAGCCTAGAAAGCCAAGCCTCCCCAGGCTGTTGCCCTCCCTACACCGGGGTGCACACGGTGCTACGGACGTGAGGCGGCTGCCTTCCTGAGCTCCGGACACCTGCTGCCTCCACCCCCACAGACCGGGACCTGCAGGTGCCTGGGCCACTAGGTGGGGTGCGCCCGGGAAGCCCGAATGCCGGACCCCCAGCTAGGGACAGCCCGGTGGCTGCGGGTGGCCGGCCTCCTCCTGGCGTGGTCTGGTTGGGAGATTTGTAGCACCTCTGCGACTGCAGAGGAAAGCCCAGGGAGCCGGTCGTCTGTGGGTGCAGCCAGCCCCCTGGAGGCAGCAGGCCCAGAGCAGCCACCCGTGTGCTCGTGGTACTGAGTGAGCCCTGCCCGGGGACCCGTGCAGGAGACGCCAGCACACAGCCCCTCTCCTCCCCTGGGACCCCTCTGCGGGTCAGTCCACTGACCCCTGACATCAAGAGTCACACGCTCCCCTGAGGCGCCCTAGTCCGAGCTACTTTTAGGGACCAGCAGATGGACACCCTGGGCTTAGGGGCTCACTCAAGAGTGCACGTCTGCCCTAATCCCCTGCATGGCTGGGAACGGTATGACTGGACCCTGGCCAGAAGAACCGGGATCGTCTAGCAACGCTGCTCGGACTGGGCCAACCCCCGCCACCAGGGGTCGCGGAGGCTCAGGTGGCCAGCTGGTTTCCACTCTTGGACCTTGGCCACAAGGGCCTCCCCACTGGCATCCGGGAGCCCCGAGTGGACGCAGCAGCCAGGCCCTCTCAAGTAGCCAGCAGCTGGCAAGTGCTGGGGGCTTCGGGACCAGATGCCCCTTAAACAGCCAATCCTCAAAGGACCTCAGGAAATACTCGGGTCACGCAAAACCTCGACGTTCCTGTGCCTCTGGCTCCTGGGCTCGTCTCAGCCCACCAGCATCAGGGCTCCCTGTGGGTGCCACACGGGTGCCTCACTGCACATGGGGTGAAGGGGCAGCCTCTCCCAACGTCCCCACATGCCAATCCTGGAGTGCATCCGAGTCCCTCATCCCGACGAAAGCATGACACCCTAACCTCTCCCTGCCAGGTCTCCCCGTCCTCACCTGCTAGTCCTGTCTACACGGCCTGCCCTCCTGGTGTCTGTGCCGCCTCCACCCTGCGGGCAGGCAGACGACGACCATATCCTCAGCCTCCCCTCTCCCTCCCTCTGCCTCCCAACCCTTGGCCTTGACCGTCTTTACCCACGTGGTTTCCTGCTCCCGCCCCACCTGGATGGTCACATGTCCACAAAGTGACGTGCCACCTCCAATGCATGCCCTGCCCACTGTACCTCCCCCCACCCCAAAATCCTGGCCTCTTCCCCTTCCTTGTTGAACACGGCATTGCTAGACCCAGTGAGTTCCCTTTTCTGAATTCAGGCCCGCTACACAAGAGCGGGTTGGTTCTAGTAATAAGGAAAAGCCAGACAGCCAAGGTAAGTGCTCCAGAATGACAAGAGGAGCACCTCTGGGATGGCCCCTACCATCCTCTCAACACCCGCTTTGTGCTGGGCACAGGACCCATCCTTCAGCCCCTGTGGCTCTGACACTGGACGTGTCCAGCTGTCTGCTTGGTGCCATCACAACTCCCAGGTCATTGGAATCATTCCGCAAATGTGTGTGACACAGAGCATGCCACACCCCAAGCTTCTTACTGGTCTCCTCAAGCATTCGCTCTTCTTGGGATGGGCCCTGGCGAGATTCGACAGATACACAGAGGCTGGGACTGGCCAGGCGGAGTAGGCTGGGCAGACCCTGCTCCTGGTCAGCAGTGCCTCTGGCAGGATGATGCTGGGGGCTCTCCCTGCTGAGCAAAGGCCTTCGGCTCACAGTGGGACACAGGCCATTCCACGGCAGGTGTCGCAGGTGGAGTGGGTTCTCCCGGGAGCTCCAGACCAGCATCGCTCCAGTCGGCACTACTGACATCGGGGGCCGTTCTGTGCCTCGTGAGCCCTTTGGCAGCATGCCTGGCCTCCACCTGCCAGACACTGGTAGCACGTCTCCAGCCGGGATGACCACACCTCTTTGGACGTTGCCTAATGGTGGCTCCCCCAGTGGCAAAACCATCCCCAGTTGAGGACGACCGGTTCAGACCCCACAACCGACCACCTGATGAGGCTCTGGCTTGAGCTCAAGTCAACTCGGGCTGACCACACCCTTGTGTTCCCACAACTTGCACTCCCAGGTCGGCCCTGGTCACAGGAGATCTCAGCTTTGAGGTCTGTGACCATCGGTGTCCTTGTGGAGCCGGTCAGCTCTGTGTTCAGGTCAGCCCATGACCTCTGTCCATGGGGGGCCCCAGGCACCTACCACCACCCAGACGGTGTAGCCAGAGTTCCTAAAGCCCTGGCCTAGCTTAGCAGGGACACCCGTTCCTGCCTGTCCTCCCGGATCTCCCAGCTGCCAGTTCAGGGGGCAGTGCCCGAGGCCTCCTGCTGCCCCAAGCCCCGACACCCTGGCACTGCTCACCTCGGCTGGAGACATTCATGCAGAAGTACATGCCGTAGATGACGTACACATACAGAGTGCCCGGCTTCATGAACATGCCACGGTTGCGCGGGGTCTGCCGGCCGCCCCTAGAGTGCGCGGCTTCATCCTCTGGCCCCACGTATGCCTCCGTCTCCACGATGCGGCCGCGGAGCTCTGTGCCGTCATCAAGTCGTCGAACCAGCACCTGTGGGCAGCGTGTCTGCTCAGAGCCCGGAGGGGCAGAGGGCACCCTCAACTGTGACATCCCCAGTTCAAGGTGCACCAGGGCACCCAGGCCCAGCCAGGCCCCCCACTGTCCCCCTCACCCGTCCTGGGAACACAGGCCCTGCTACGTATCCTGTCCACGGGGGACAGCTGTCTCAGGCTCCGGCCAGGGCCAGGCTGGGGAAAACCAGCACTAGTGAGTCCGCACACTTCAAGTGTTCTTGGTGGGGCCCTCCATCTCCCTGCCTCCTCCTCCCCCTGCCCCCTTGGACTTAAGTGCTTAGCCTGGGGTAAGGCAGCATGGAGGGCACAGGGCCCGGGCCCCAGTGTTGTCCTCACACAGCTGCCCAGGACGCCTAGAGCCTGTGTGGCCCCTTCCACCTGGACTGACCACAAAGGACCACCACCCTACTTGGCTCCCACCCCCTGGCTCTGAAAGGCCCTTCTGAGCAGTGGGAGCAGCTGCCTGCAGGGGCCCCGGCCTGGACCGCAGGCCTGGGTGTAGCCAGCTCCACAAGGAGTGGGTCAGAGCAGGCCGTCTGCCAGGGAGATGAGCTGGCTGCAGCTGCCTCAGGCGGCACCCTGGGGCAGGGGTGAGGCCGGGAGCGGCCCTAAGGGCCAGCTGAGGACGGGGCAGGGGCGGGTGCTCTCGGGTGAGCCGAGCACCGAGGAGAGCATCGCAGGCCACAGGGGAGCCAGGGAGGACCCGTGGAGTGCTGAGTGTGCCCGAGAACGGAGTCTTCCCCCGCCTGATCCAGGGCCACAGGACAATACCTGTCCCAGAAATGCCCGTGCCAGGGCGACAGCGGGTTGGTCGAAAAACTCCGATCCCAGCCGTGCAGAGCAGCTTTTTGGGCTTGAGAAGTAGAGGCTGCGCTGGGGACCCGGGGAGGCAGGCCGCCCCAAGCGGGGCTCCGTAGGGGAGGGCGTCGGGGCTCCGTGCAGGTCACTCCCGGGCTCTTCTGCCTCCAGCAGTCGCTTTTTCTGCCCGAGTCTGCAGGAGAGCTGTAACGGGAGTGGACCGATCTCCTGAACAGGTTTGGTGGTGACGGCCGACTCAGGGAGGCGAAGGACTGTATTCAACGGCCCACCTCCTCGAACAGCGGAGACCACCCCCTCGTGGGTTGTTCCAGGAGCAAAGGGAGTGCTGTACCTGGCGTGTGCAGCCCCACGCTGGGCCCCGGGAGGCCTTGGGAAACGCCTGCGCAGCTGGACAGGCTGTGGGTGCGGTGACCGAGCAGCCACTCTGAACCACACCCGGTCCACGTGCAGATGATGCGCGGGCTGATGGCAAAGGGCTGCACGGCCTGGGGAAGGGACAGAGGGCACCCGAGCCTAGGACGGAGGGCTGCTATCCTGATTCCCACCCGTGACATGGAGCCCAAACTTCCAGTCTTGCTTCTGGAACCTAGCCCTTTGCAGCAACCCTAACCGGGAATTAATTATTTTCTTTTATATTTACTTACGTAAGTACTCTCTACACCCAATACGGGGCTCAAACTCACGACCCCAGTGTCCAGAGTCACATGCTCTTCCGCCCGGGCCGGCCATGACCTTGGCCGGGGGCTTGGCCGAGGACCGCTCACGGGTGGTTGTGTCCTCCACACTCCCTCCCACCCGCTGCCCTGTTCGCAGGGCTCCCACTGTGTCATCCCCTCCTCAGAATGTCCAGGAAGGCCTGACATGTAGGGGTCGGGGGAAAGGACCAGGAGGTCTTCTTTGCTCCAACCCGAGTGCTCAAGGCAGGACCCCTGGTGAGTCCCCAGCTGTCCTCGCTCAGGACCCAGGTGCCGTCATAAGGAGCAGTGGAGCGAAGGCGAGGTCTCCCAGGGGACAAGACCTAACCCCACCTGCTACCACACAGCCCGGGAAGCCTGACCAGACACTGTTCTGGGACCAGCTGCTCTACCAGTGGGAGATGATGAGCAGGTGAGCCCCGGGGCCTGGAAACACCCTCAGCAAGGGCTGGTTCTCCATAGTACCCACATCTCTTCGGCACGTGACAGGCCCAGTATTTTTAACATTAGCACTGGCATTCCATCTTGAAAGGAGACGGCCAGTCTACTGAGAGTGGACGCTGACGTGACCGTCTTCGCAGCCCAGCCCATCTGCCAACACCCGCTGTGGGCTCAGACGCTGGGTCGCTGCCACCCGGAGTCTGGCCCCCCGCCTGCCTCGTGGCACTCGGGTCATTCTGGGTCAGGCGAAACTGCCCAGGACTGAGGCCTAGAAAGGCCTCAGTTTCCCTATCAGAGACCTAGAATCTGAACCTGACCCTGCACTGCACTCAGCGAGCACGGCCTCAGATCCTGTGCCTGGGCCTCGTGCATCCCCAGCTCTGGTTAGAAATGAGGGTTCTGGGGCGCCTGGGTGGCTCAGTGGGTTGAGGCCTCTGCCTTCTGCTCAGGTCATGATCCCAGGGTCCTGGGATCGAGCCCCACATCCGGCTCTCCGCTCAGCAGGGCGCCTGCTTCCCTTTCTCTCTATCTGCCTCTCTGCCTACTTGTGATCTCGGTCTGTCAAATAAATAAATTAAAAAAAAAAGAAGAAGAAATGAGGGTTCCCCACAGAGGGGGCCCTGGACACCCACGGTGTCTGCCTGTTTCCTCATGGGAAGGAAAGGAGCCTGTATCTGTGGCCGGGGGTGGGAGGAGGGCCTCCGGCCAGAGTGGTGCCCCCGTGGAGGGCTGGAGGGAGCCCGGCCGGGACGTGGGTTAGTCCAAGGGACCCATGAGCCCTCCATCCACACCCGGCAAACAAGGGCTTAGGGCGTCCAGGGCGAGCCTTTATCCAGCTGCCACTGCCACTGCGGCCACCGCGAGTCACTTCTGCGGCAGCCTGGCCGCCGGGCAGTACAAGTCTGAGCCGGACGCCAGGGCGCCGCACGCGACCAGGACACCGGGGCCGGGGGCTGCTCCGGGACTCCACCGGCAGCCCCGGGTCGGGCCGCGCCTTTTCCAACCGAGGAGGAGCAGCCGAGCCGGGGCCGCCCCGCCGGGGCCCCGCGCGCGTGTGACCCGCTCCCCCGGAGCCCGCTCGGCGGCGGGGCTCTCGGCCCCGGGGCGGGTCCTCGGGCGAGCGCCGGGCGGCCGTGCGCCGAGCGGGCAGCGCGTACCCGGGCGCACACTCACCTGCGCCGCGCCGCGCACCGGCATCCCGCGGCTCCGGGCGCCCCCGCCCGCCCAGGCGCGACCCCGGAAGTGCCGCGGGCGCCTGCGCGGAGGAGGACGGAAGCCCGGCGGGGCGGTGCAGACCCGCCCCCGGAGGAGGGGCCGGGCGGGGGGTGGTCCTCGGGTCCCGGACAAAGACCCGGGGGCTGCTGGGACGCTGGCGGCGGGAGAAGGCGGGGACGGCGGCGGGCTTGGGGCGAGAGGCCCCGCAGCCCGGTGCCCCCCGCCAGTGCCCTGCGTCCCGCACCCGCGCGCGTGGGGGTCCCCGCACGGCCGCCAGCCGGGGGTCAGACCCCTAAGAGCGCTGGTCCTCGAGGGGCCCCGGCTGGGGGCTGGGGGGCCGCAGACGCTTGGGTGGGGTAACCGGGGGCGAGCGTGGGGGAGGCGGCGGCCGAGCCCCGGTCCTCGGGAAACCCCTTCGTGGACTGCGGCTCCGGGAGGCCCTTGGGAGGAGAGGGCCTGGGGAGTGGGCCAGGAAGGCGGGCCGGGAAGCGGATGCCAGGCCCCTCCGGAAGCCCCCGCCCCCGCCCGGGTCTTCCTCACCCGCCGGGCCGGGGGTCCTGTCTGCAGTGCGCCCCGCCCCTTCAGCCGCGCGGAGGTGCCCAGAGGAGCCAGCCCACGTCCTCCGCGGGCTTGCGGGATCGTGGCCAGCCTCCTCGAGAGGCGGGAGTCCCGGACCCCGGAACGCCCGGCTTGCGGCTGTGAGGGAGCGGCCCGCCCTCCACCTCTGATGCTGCCCACCCTGTCTGTAATTTCTCAAGTCGGACAGGAGTCCCCAAGGGCAGTGGCGGGGAGGGCAGTGGGTGGCGGTGGGGGGTCCAAGCACAGGGCTGTTGGCTGGGGACGGTGCTGGGGCTGGGGTGGGGGGGGCTGGAAGGGGCGCACTGCTGGCTCCTGTGGCTCAGAGAGCAGACCTGGAGGGTGAAGGCGGGTCCTAACACCCAGCAGAGTACCCTGCTCCCGTCCTCGTAGCTCCAGGGTCCCCTGTAGGTCCCTTCTGCTGCGGCAGGCACAGTCCCACCCTCCTGGATCACCCACCCCTGTCCTGGGGAGACCCTTGAGCAGCAGGGCCTGCAATTGGCTTTCTGGGACCCTGGCCCTGGGGCGGGTACCATGGGGCCTCAGAGCCATTGGATACAGGATGATGTCAGGAAGTGCCCCGAGAAGGGGGCCCCAGATGAGCACAGAGCCAGTCCAGCTGGGAATATTCCGGTCTCCCACTGTGCTCCTCTGAACAGTCCAGGCGCTGAAGTCCAGCCTGGGCCCAGGCCCAGCAGCTCTGCTGGCCCCCTCCCCTCGGGGCTCCCACCAGGACTTCCTGGGGAGGGAAGGGCCCAGCCTTCCAGCTGCCTGTTGGAAGCCGCCCAGCTGTTTGTGGCATTGGGTGCCACTTCCGGGGGTGGGCCCTGTGTCATAAATCCATGCTTGTAAGGCCTGGTTGTGACGCCCACCCTGTCCTTTCCTACTTACCCCCTGCAGCCATTCTGCCCAAACAATGACGCCTGCTTCCTGCCTTCCTTTGTGCCCCGTCCCCCTTCTCTCCTCCCTTTCCCCTCTTCCTTTCTCCCCGCGGCGGCAGGAAACAGTCCTCCTGCTGAAGGCTGGGGCAGGGTGGGTGCTGCTTGTACTTATTTTTGTTCTGAGTTCACAAATGGGTGCTGAGTCCTTGTAGAAATCACGGGGAGTCGACTAGTTCCCGGAGGGGTGTGTTATCCCCACCTTGAGAACGAGGAACGAGTGCCTCAGAGCACAGACCCGGCGCCTAGGAGGGGACGCAGAGTCCAGATGTCCCAGCCAGAGTGCGGGGGCTTGCGAAACCTCTGCAGGGTGGGCCCTACTCTGCCCCGCCCCCATTTCCTGGCTCGTGGTCTGAGGCTTCACCGAGGGCTGGAAGTGGTGGGCCGAGCATTCCCTGTGTGGCTGTGACTGGCCAGGGGTAAGAGGAGGGGGTCCTGGCGGGAAGAGGGGCCTAGGGCCTCCTGGGTCCTCAGTGTGTCCTGCTGCTGGCCTGGAGAGGTGTGTTGGAGGATGTCAATGTGAGACAGAGGTGAGGACACCCTTCCTGCTTTGAAAGGGAGCAGTGCCAGGGCGGGCTGCCCTGGGCCCTGCTGTGCCAGGGCCACCAGTGACCGAAGCCTTGAGAGTCCACAGTTTGGCACCAGCACTGTCCCAGGGCACCGGTACACTGGCTCTGTGTCCTTTTCTCTAACAGGGACGCTGACACGGTGGACGGGAGAGTTGGGTCTGAGCCCAGGGGGCTGCATGTCCAAAGGCAGAGGGCCCTGCAGCAGGGGCTCCGTGGGGGTCAGAGCCTCCATGGGTGGAGAGGGCAGCCAAAGGAGGTGTGTGGGGACGGCCCTCTCCTTTTATGGGCTGTGCAGCCTGTGCTGCTGAGCCTTGGGCCCAGGTACTTAGGGGACCACTTGCTGTGCACTGAGACACGGGGAGGGGCCGCTGCCTCGGAAATAGTCGGTGACTTCAGACCCCTGGCTGGCCTGGCCCGAGTTCATCTCCTCCCCAAATAGCCAGGGGCTGGTGCTGGGCCCACCCCATTGCCCAAAGCCCAGGATGGCCCGCTGAGCTGAAGCTTCCAGGATAGCTGATGGCCACTCGCCTTGCTTGGGATCTTAACCCCTCAGGTCCTACGGTGAAGTCCACCGCCATGGGGGTGGCCCAGATAGCCATCCACCCCTTGCTGTCCACAGGCTAGGTGGTTGCAGCGGATTTCCATTTCTCTAGGGCTGGGAGGAAGATGAAGGAGAGGCACTGGCAGCTAGCTTTCCGTGCAGGGGCTCTGCCACAGCAGAGGGCAGTGGGGCCGACTGGAGGGAGGGCTTATGTGTACGAATACGTGTGTCCTTGTGGACCAGGCTAGGCCTGAGCACTCATGGGTCGAGGCCCCTGCCCGCACGGTCCTTTGGTTCTGAGGTCCTCGTTCAGGATGCTGGGGTGGGCTGATAACCTGGGGCTTCCTGGCTTTGCCTGCCAGGGTATTCCGAGCTGTGCCTTAGGAGGAACACCCGGGAGGGGCAAGGGTTTGTCACAGAGGCTGCTGGGAATCCTACTTGAATTCAGGGACCAAGAGGACCCTTGGGAGGTGACTTGATTGCACACAGGGGAGGCTGTTTTCCTGTCACTGAAGGCACAGACCACCCTTCCTGGGGAGGGAGCCTGCCTTCTGTTAAGGCATCTCTTGTCGACTGAAGGTGACTCCTTGGAGGGGGGTTTTAGCGGGAAGCCAGCCAGGGCTGATGCTCCTGGCAGTGGGGAGTGAGTCTCTGGGTCATGGAGTGGGTCTGGGTGGCACCCTGCTGCGGCCACTGCCGGAGGGGACCTGCCAGCACCGGGTGCCCAGTGCCTTGGATATGAGCCCAGGCCCAGGACTCCAGAGATGACACCACCGCCAGCCTCTGTCTGGGCATCCCGGTGGGTGGGGCCTGCCTCTCCCTGGCAGGGGTCGAGAACGCCTGAGAATGCCTGGTATGGAGAGACGGTCCTGTCTGGCTGAGAGCCTGGCATGGGAGGAGTGGCGCGTGTAGGCTGTGAGCATCAGGGCTGGGCGGCCTCCCTCTTGCCTGGTGTCCCCAGTCCACCCGCAGTTGCCCTCCCCACGCCCCAGTGAAGGAGTCCTCCTGGAGCTCCTCCAAAACTTTTCTTGTCTCCCCCTAAGAATTGTGTTGATGTGCCCGTGTTCATAGAGGACCCAGTATGGGCAGGCACCGCTTTGGTCCCTGGTGTGAGGGACGATATGAGCAGGGTGCCTGTCCCTCGCCCAGGTTCCAGGGCCAGCCAGGAAGTTGGTGGCCACCTCAAGCCATCAGCGTTGTTTTCTGTGGGTCCAGAGCCCAGTATCGTGCACAGTCAGGCCTGGCATGACTCGTGGACAGTGGCTGCAAGCTCTGCTCAGAGAAGTCCAGTGCCGCCTGGTCCCAGAGCAGCAAGGGGCATGTTTGTAGGTACTGTGAGGTTTGAGGTGCTGGGCCCCACGGGCCCCAAGGTGCTCTGGGAATCAGTGAAAGTGTCCTTAGGGGATCTATGGTCCCAGTTCTGTTTTCTGCGGGGCCATAAGCGAGGCCACCGTGAGGAAGTCTGGGTGGTCAGCCCTGCCTGTGCCCTGCTATTGCCAGTCCCCTCCCCGCTCCCCTGGTCTTCCTCTGGGTGGTTCAGCCCCCCACACTCTGGTGATGCCAAGAGGGAGGGATGCTGGGAAGTTCAACCAGGACCTCAGCCTCAAACAGATGGGTCATCTTGTGTCCAGCTCCGAGAGTGCAGGGGTGAGCCCATGGTGGGGGGCCGGGGCGGTGGGGGGCTCTAAAAGAGGGAACCATCCAGAGTGGACGGAGGTCCTGCTCCCTTCAGAGAAGGGGGCTGTGGAAGACAGAACGCTGTAGGCCCAGCCTGGCCTGGGAGCACCTGCTGGGGGGCACGGGGGTCTGGGGAGGGGCCCACTGCCCTGATCCTGCCTTTGCTGTGAGTGTTGGTGTGCACCAGGGTGTAAACACACGAATGGGAGTGTACAGTGGTGGTTGTGTGCATGTGTGTAACTGGATGGAAGGGGCTATGAAGTCGTGTGTGTGTGGATATGTGAGTTGGTGTGAGGGTTTAGAGCATGGGGGCTGTGTGTGTGAGTGTGCGTGTTCCCATGAGGCTGGCTGAATGTAGGGGATGTGATTTAGTGTGGCCTTTGGAGGAGGTCAGCAGTTCGGTTTGCAGGAGATGCAGGGACACTGTCCCGCACCGCCTCCTCCCCCTTTCTGAAGCACAAGTCAGGGCAGAATGAGGTCTGGTCTCACCCTGGAGTCCGGGAGAGGCCAAGGAGCCCGGGACTCCCGCGGGACCAGTAGGTCCTCTCTCCGCGGCCAAGGCGCCCGAGACCTCCCCCCGCCGCAGCTATCCCCGCGGGCAGACGAAGCGGAGAGCAGAGCCCAGCGGCCTTCCCGGAGGAGGTGACTCGGGCCGGGCGGGCCGCGCGCATTCCTGAGCCCTGAGTAAGCGCGGCCGCCCCCTCCGGCCGGGCCCGCCCCCGGCGCGCACGCCCCTCGCTCCATGGCATTCCCGGGCGGGCGGGCCGGACGGGCGCGCGGGCGGGGACTCGGCGCGGGCGCCCTCCCGGGCGGCGGCGGCGGCGGCGGCGGCAGCAGCAGCAGCCCCTCCCCGGAGCCCTCAGAACCCCCGAGGACCCCCGCGACCCGGGGCCGGCGGCGGCGGTGAGTGAGCGCGCGCGGGAGCGGGGCGCAGGGCTCCGCGGGCCGGGCGGGTCCCGGACCCGCGTCCGCTGCGCGCGGGGCCCGTGCTCCGTCCGCCGCGGTCGGGGGCGCGGACAGCGGCCGGAGTCGGGCCGGGTGCGGGGTCCAGGCCTGGGTCCGGGCCCGGGGTCGGGCGGGTCCCGACGCGGAGCGTCCGGACTTTCCTCCCCGGACTTTCCCGAGCCACCCGCGGAGGCGGCCCGGCCCGGGATTCCTCGCCCGGCGCGCCGCAAAAATAGCCCAGGGCCGGATTAGCACGTCCGCGCGGCCTGACCGGGCCGGACAGCTCGGCTCCAGCCGCCGCCCAACAGCTGAGGGTCCCGCGAGCGGCAGGGCTCGCGGCCCGGGGCCGTCCCTGGGCCCCTCCGCGCTGCGCCCCCCCCTTCCCGGACGTGTTCCGCCGCGGCCGCCGCCGGTGGGTGGTGCTCCGAGCCGAAACTCCGGCTCCGGGGGTGGGACTCCTCGGATCGTCCCTGTCGCAGCCGTCGTCTCCGGGGTGGGATACTGTCACCACCAGTAGCCGGAGCAGGGAAGCTAGCGGCGGGGGCCGGCCCTCCGTCCCGCTCCGCAGCCTCTGTCTCCCCACTCTGTAAGTCCCGGAACTGCAGGGACCTGGGAGCTGCTCCCAGGACACCCCCCTACCTTGTGCTTAGTGGCCAGGAGGAGCGGAGGTGGGGGGCGTGGGGGCGTGCCTGGAAACAGGCCTTCTATTGGCAGGCGAGACCGACCCAGGTGCTCCCGGCGCTGGGGGAGGGCCTAGGCCTGCTGGGGGCCTGTTCGTGGTTGGATGGGGCCTGGGCAGGGGGTCTCGCAGCCCGGCCTGCCCCTGGCCCAGCTGGCTCCTGACGGGGGTGCGTTCTGTGCAGCTTGGGCTGTGTGTCCCTGTGTCCGTCTGGGTGGGCGGGGCCTGGATCTGGAGGCCCTAGCCTTGGACTGGGAACCCCCTCCCGCCCCCCCACCTTGGGACTTCCTGAAGAAGATTCGAGGATGAAACTGGCTTTTCAGGTTTGGCCCAGCTAGATGCTGGGTTCTCCCCACCCCGCTGAAGCCAGCCCCAGCCCCCTAGAGAGCCCCCAGAAATCAGGAGGAAGGAGAGGAACCCAGCAGCTGTCTGGGGTCCACGAGGTTCCCCCTGGGAGCCCCCTGGGCTGCACCCCCTGCCACCGGGGGGGGGGGGGGCTGTTCTGGGCCAGCTGGGCTCTTTTCCATGAGAACCAGGCAGAGGTAGTAGGTGGGCACAGGAGTCAGTGGCCCCACATTCCGGGCCCCAGGCCCCATCCCAAACCTTCCAAGCAGCCGATCTGTGTCCCATGGCGCGGACGGGCTGACTGAGGGCGGCTGAGCTGGAGGATGGCTGGGACCGCGTTCCTTGCGCTGGTTAGCGTCCCAGCCCAGTGGCTGTCCTCGGGAACTCCGGTTCTCAGGGGGCCTTGGCTCAGAGGTGCTCACTCAGGTGTCCTCTGCCTTCCAGCGCCTCCCTCAGGGTCTTCTCAGCTCCCAGCCCCGGCTCTGGGCACACCCTGTTGCTCTTTTCCCTGGATGTGAGGTGCTCCCCTTCCGGCTCCGATCCCCGACTTTGGTGTCTGTGACAGGATCCACTTTCTGCCCGAGGATCGTGTTCCCTGGCTTCTGCCTGTTTTCTGGGTTGGGTGTGTTGGGTGTGTTGGAGGATGACCCCCTCCTCCCTGAACTGAGAGGCTCTGGGTCGGGATAGGGTGGAGTTGGGGGCCCAGATAGGATACGCCCACCCCTGGGGGGCTGTGGCCAGCACCAGCTAGGCGGGCACACAGGTCCCTTGGACCCCAGCTCCTGGGCAGACACTGTCCAATGCTTCGAGCCCCCTTGGAGTCACCAGGTGGTGACTGGCCTCTCAGGGCCTCTGTGTTCTTATCTGGAAGGTGGCTCCAGAGGACCCTTCCCAGGGGCTGTGTTAGGTCAGCAGGCTCTGTTGGAGCCAGGCTTCAGGCCAGTGTGCCAGGCTGCTGATGACAAGCCGTTTCCGCTCTTACAACAGACTCCAGGACTTGGCTTCCGTCCCCTCCCGGGACCTCTCGAGTGCTCTCCAGGAGCTGGCCCGTCCTGGGAGGAGGTCGCTAAGCCCGAGGGTGTCAGGTCCTTGGGGGAACTTCTGGGGGCGCTGACCTGGGGCCCGGCTGCTCACCTGCCCTTGACCCAGGCAGACTGGTCCCTGTGCAGCTTGAGGGAGGGTTCCCCTAGCCCCGGAGCCCCAGTGAGGCCGCAGGCTGTTGGAGCCAGAATTGGCCATAGCTAGACTCCTCCCCCTTGCTGATGGACGCGGGGTGGTCCCGCAGCCTCTCTGAGCCTTGGGGTGCGCTTGCCCTGTCGGGTACTGTCGCAGCCACTGGGGTCAGGGGCTTTGGTTCTGGCTGTTGGTGACCCCCGGGTTTGGACGGTACCCCTCCCTGGGACTTGTGCTCCCTCTGTACCACCATCCCTGGGGAGGTCCCCGAGTGTAATTATCTCTAGGAATTCCTGTGCCTTCGGGGGACCACCTGAGGTGGGGTCCTCCGGTTCTGTTACTGGCCTTCTGCATACCTGTTTGGGGTGATGTCTGTCCCATGATAGGTGACGAGGGAAGGTGGGATTGATGGGTCTCATTGGGGATGGGCAGAGGGGTACTGCGGGGCCATCAGCGAGGTCTTGGGCCTGCCCTGCTGCTGTCGGACCTCGTTTCCTTCACGGACAAGCGGTGAAGTCTGGGAGGGTTGAGGACGACTGAGGACCCGACCGTGACCAATTTCAGCATTTATGCCATTTATACGTAAGACAAAGAGGCAGAGAGAGAGGTGGGTGATGTGCTTTGCTGCACAGTAGCAGGGGGTGGGGAAGGCCTGTATTCTGGGGTGTCACACAGTGAGTGATCCCCGCTAGTGGGGGATTTCTGGGGTTGGGCATCTGTTCGATGGGGTGGAACCGAAGTGTGAGGGTCAGAGGTCAGGGCTGTGGTGTGGAGGCTGGAGGATTTGGCCCCTCCTGGGATCTCACTTAGGTGAGGCAGGACGGGTCTGGGCGGGTGTCCTGGGGTGGGGCCCATTGCTCCTGCTGACCTTGGCGGTGGGCGGTCCCCTGGGCAGGGCGGGGCCAGGGTGTGGCAGGTCCTGTCCTGGGGCTGGGCGGTCCCCGCTGCCCACCCAGCCTCCGGCTGCCCACCCGTTTCATGGTGGCTCTGGCCACTGTCTAAGCTGAGCTGGGCCACCCCCCCCCACCCCCCGCCGCCGTGTCCTCCTGCCTCTTGGTCACGGCCTCCCACACTGGGCATCTCTGCAGGCTCCCATCTCCAGGATCCTCCCATGGCTTCTGCTCCGGTCCTACATGCTCTTGGGCCAGTGCACTCCCCCCGCTTGCCCCCCCTTTGGCTGCCCTCAGGGAGTTCCCCGGAGCCGGCAGGCAGGAACCAGCCTGGCTGTTGGGTCCAGCTGTGTGCCTGGCGCTGCTGTGGTCCCTCCTTTTCAGAGGAAGAAGTGGAGGCTTACGGAGGGTTGCATGTGGTGAAGATGATCAGGTGTGCCCAGTGTCTCAGGCCAGGCTCTCCCCTGGCTTCCCGGCTCCCCTTCCCCCCGCCCCCACCCAACCCCTGCACCGGCCTCTCATCCCCAGGGCTTCAGTAGGACCTGCCCCTGTTCCCCACCCAGCCCTCTGCCCTGAGGCTGTCCATTGAAAGCAGCCCTCGTGGTCCTCTGACCTGGTGGGTCCCCCTCGTCCCCCAGCCTGGTCTCGGGTCCTCATCCATCGTGAGCCCCACGCTTGTCCTGTGCTGCCCGGAGTGCCTGGGTGTCATGTCTGCCCCTGTTTTGTGCCCCTGGCTGGGCTCAGGCCCCACTCGTAGCATTTACTAAGCCACTGTGTGCACTTTCTACTTGACGTCTCCACGCCCAGTGCGGGGTCTCCTGGTGGGGCTGGGCCTTGGGTGGGCAGCCTTGACTGTTGCCAGCCTGACTCAGATGCTGTGTGACCCTGGGCCGTCAGGCCCTCCCCGGGCTGCGGTTTCTTCCTGCCCTGAGGGGGGTCAGTGGAGCAGAGATGCTGTTGGGATCCCCCCGGAGGGGTTGGCTGGGAACAAGAGCCCACTGTGCGCCTGGGGGAGGCCTGGACACTGGGCTACTGTCTCCTCTGGGTGGGCACTCTTTGTCCTCTAGGCCTGCCCCCGCGCTGGGGCCCACTCTGGGGCACCCCCCTTGTGAATCCCACCCACTTGAGGCCCAGATGGGGAACTGTGCACACAGGGGTGGGGCAGACCAGGAGCCCGCAGCATGGGGGCCCCTGTGGGTTATAGAGCACCTCCCACTGCCCCTAGAACAGGAAGGACTTGGGTGGAGGTGAGGGCCACCGTGAGATGTGGGCAGACGGGCACAGGGACCGGGTGCCTCCATTGTGAGCTCAATGGCCCTTGTGTTCCTGGGGCTTCCTGGAGGCCCAGGTTAGCCGGGGTGGGGAGTGTCCCCGTGTACCTCACCACCCTTTTCCCAATTCTTGGCTTGTGCTGTCCCTGCCCCGACCTCGTCCTGGGGTCTGCCCCTCCTCCCAGACCCAGTTGAAGGGTCTTTTTTGGGAACTCTTCATCACTCCAGATCCTGAGGACGGGCCCAGTGTTTCCCAAGCAGCGGCTCGGACCAGGCCTGCCTTGGACACCGAGGGCCCAGCAGGAACAGGGCAGCCTACACGTGGATGGTGCCCTGGGCTGTGCCCGGGAATCCGGGGCTGGGAGCATCTGCCAGGGGTGGGGCCAGTCTTCTGACCCAGGCTGTGTGCAGGGGTGAGGCATGGCGAGAGCCTTGAGCCGGAGGTGGGGAGCTGGCTGTGGGGAGAGGCTGCGGGGGCAGCAGAGCTGGGAGGGTCCTGGATGTGTGGGGTGCTGGGAGCGGTCAGCTGGCGGGGTTTCTTGGACTCCTAAGTCGAGAACCAGTCCATACCCTGGGAGGTGCTGGGAATGTTTGGAGGCTCCTGGGGAGGCCAGCCCCCCTGGAGTCTGGCCTGGGGCCTCCTGGTGGCCGGTCTGGGGCCAGGAGGAGCTGAGCGCTGGCCGGAGGGGCTGTTCTTGGTGACCCGTGCCCGCCTGGTCTGTGTTGGGGTTCCACTCTCTCGGGTCGGGAGAGCTGTGAGTTGCTCTGAGCGGACCCCTGGCTTCCCTGTTCTGTGTAAGTGTAGCGGAAGCTGTGGGCGGCCCCCCCGGGCCTGTCTCTGGGAAAGCGCCCCCCCAGCGTGCCGCCTCGACCTCGGGGAAGGCAGGCCCCTGTTCTCTGAGACTGCTGGGCTGTGTGTAAAGCGGGGGTGGGGTTTTCCGTACCTCTCCTCCAGCAGGCGAAGGGAGGCTGTTTCTAGAGGCATTCGCGGGTGGGGTCTCAAACCTGAATTTTTTTTTTTTTTTTGAGATTTTATTTATGTGAGCGAGACCATGTGCGCGGGGTGGTGGCGGTGGCCGTGGCTGTGGGGGGAGGGAAGGGGCGGAGGGACGTGCGGCCTCCCTGCTGAGTGCGGGGCCTGCCTCCACCTGGCTCCCTCCCAGGACCCTGAGATCCTGACCTGAGCGCGAGTCACAGGCGCCTCCCCCAACCTGAGTGTCAGAGTTGGTCTGGCTCCCAAGCTCTTGGATGTGGCAGAGGAGTTTTGGGGTCTCCACTCCCCTGCTGTCTGTGCCCCACACTGTGCTTTGGATCCCGTGTCCAGACACCTTGCTGTCCTTCTTTGGGAGAGCTGCCCTGAACGGGACCTCCTGTAAGGGGAGGGGACGTGGCCCTGTGGTCGTTGGCTCTCCATCCCATGGACAGAGTCAGACCCTGGGCTTTCCACCCCGGTCTCCGGTGCTCAGGGAGGTGCTGGGCGTGGCTGGGGGCCGTCCCTGTGTGCGTGGCGCCCCCTGGTGGTCCCGGTAGTCACCCCCGCCCAGGTGGCTCAAGGAAGTGGAAGGTCCCCTGCAGGCAGGACCTCCCAGACCCAGGGGAAGCCCTGTGGCCACTCCTCGGTGAGCTGGAGGGGTCACGCCCCCTGCGGTGGGTGCACAAGGTCTCCTGTCCTTGCAGCAGATGGCACGGGGCTTCTAGGGCGAGGTCTGGGTCCGACAGGGTTGAGATGCAGACTGGTGTGGGACCCTCAGCCTGCCTGTGTGCTCACACTCGCTCACACCTCTGCCCTGGCTGTTTCCCGTGGGAGGAGCAGCCTTGGTCCCTTGTCACCACCTCGCATCTTTGCTGGACGTCACCTTTTCAGGAGGATGTCTGTGGCCTGGGAACCGTAACGTGCTGTTTTCCCTGCCATGTGTCTCACGTTTTAACATAGCGTGTTGACTGACTTCTAGGTTATTGTTTCTAAGATTTTATTCATTCACTTGAGAGAGAGCGAGTGTGTGCATGTGCGGGGCAGAGCAGAGGGAGAGGGAGAAGCAGGGTCCACGCTGGGCACACGACCCTGAAGTCACTACCCCAGCAGGAAGCCAGAGTCGGAGGACGCCTAACCGACTGAGGCACCCAGGCGCCCCGTGCTTACTTAGGGGTTATGTTTGGACGGTGCGTGCCAGGAAGGCTGGGATTTTGTCCTCTCTTGTTTCCTTGTTTCTCCATTCGTGTGTCCCTAAGCTCCCGGGAGTGACTCTTAGTGGACGCTCAAATATTTGTCACGAATGTCTCTCGACAACGAACGGATTCGTGTTGTCTGAGGACCTCGTTCGTGCCCTGCGATGTCTCTTGGGATGACTGAAGGGGGCGTGGAGCTCAGAGAAGGGCTCCAGGACCATCCCCGTGTGCGGCGAACGCTGGGAGGTCTGTGGGCACCATTCCTGAATGCCCCCTTCCCCCCCAGGCCCGTCGTGCCCCTCCGGCGCCATGAGCGAGGCCCGCAGGGACAGCACCAGCAGCCTGCAGCGCAAGAAGCCGCCCTGGCTGAGGCTGGACATCCCGGCGGCGGCACCCCCAGCGGCGGAGGAGCCTGGCTTCTTCCAGGTAGGCCCCGGCCGGCAAGGGCTGGGGGGGTGCCCTGTCCAGCCTCCTCACTGCGACGCCGCTGCCCAGCCCCTGAGACGCCAAGCTTTCCTGCGGAGCGTGAGTATGCCCGCCGAGACCGCCCGTGTCCCCTCGCCCCACCGTGAGCCCCGGCGGCCCGTCCTGCAGCGCCAGACGTCCATCACACAGACCATCCGCAGGTAGTCTCCTGGTGCGGCGGCTCCGCTGGTGGGCGTGCTGGGGGGCCGGGGCTCGGCACATGCATCCCCTGCGGGCACGGGGGCTGGGAACAGAGCCAGGGTTCCTCCTGTCTTGGCTTTCTCCTTGATCTCGTTCCCTGGGTCACCCTGTCCTCCTTCGTAGCTCTGAGGACCAGCTGCTCTCCCCTCCAGCACTTGCTTTCTCCTTCTCTGTCTCTCCTGTCCCCATGCTGTGGTCCCCGGATAGCCGACAGGTGCGCTTCGGGCATGTCCACACTCTGCCCCTCTTGGGTCCCCCTGCTGCCCGCAGGGCTCTCCCACAGCGCCGGTCTCTTTCTCGGTCCCTGCTCAGGTACCTGGGGCCGGGTGTGAGTGTGCGGACGTCAGGTGGCGTGTGCATGGCTTGCCATCTCTTGGGGCTGCCGGCGCTGTTGGTGTTCCCTGGGGTTCCTCAACAGCCCGTGCTGGCAGTGGTTTTCCTTGCATGGCCTGGAGGGATGGACGGCTTGCTTGGGCTTGCAGTGCCCACTGCCTGAGTTCTCGGGCGTCTGAGGTCACACTGCTGCCCGGGGCCAAGCTCCCTGGCTCTAGGCTGAGCTCTGCGTGCCGCCTGTGGACTCGGTGTCTGTCCCTGAACGTCCTTCTCTGTGACGGGTTGAGGATCTGTGTAGCATACCCGTGGGGCGAGGCCTGCCATCTGCGGTTCTGGCAGGATCCTGGAGCTGGCTGATTATTCAGGGGGTGGCCGGGGCTGGAACCCACTGCCCTCTCAGTGAGGCCCAGCCCACCTGGACTGCTCCAGTGCGATGGGAGGCTGGGGTCGGGGCTGGCATCTGCGAGGAGGGCCCCTGAGGCTTCCCCATGCTGAGAGCCTCCTGTGGCAGGGGCACCGCGGACTGGTTTGGGGTGAGCAAGGACAGTGAAAGCACCCAGAAGTGGCAGCGGAAGAGCATCCGTCACTGCAGCCAGCGCTACGGAAAGCTGAAGCCCCAGGTCATGCGGGAGCTCGACCTGCCCAGCCAGGACAACGTGTCTCTGACCAGCACAGAGACGCCCCCTCCGCTGTATGTGGGCCCGTGTCAGCTGGGCATGCAGAAGGTACGCCCGTCCACTGCCGCCTCCAGGCAGCCTCTTGTGTAGCTCCTGGGGCTGGGGCTGTGTGCCCACTGCAACCGAGGGGATCCCTCAGAGCTCCTGGCAGGGGAGGGTGCTCAGACGGTGCCAGCAGGGCCCCTCGGATACCCTCTGGGAACCGGGAACCAGGCTAGGGGACGGGGTCCTGGGATAGTGCCTTGGGGCCCGTCTCTGGGTGTGAGACCATCTTGGGATGAACAGCAGGGCACAGGCACTCTAGGTGAGGATGGGGACCCTCTTGGGTTCTTGCACAGCCATCCAGGGACCCACTGACCCACCAGGAGGGGCGGCAGCTGTGTTCTCCACAGCGGGGTCTGGGGTGGGGAAGGAGCCCCGTAGCGATGACCCTGGCCTTGACTCTTACGTCTCCTTCCGTCTGCCAGATCATAGACCCCCTGGCCCGGGGCCGGGCCTTCCGCGTGGCGGATGACACGGCCGACGGCCTGAGTACCCCGCACACACCTGTCACGCCGGGTGCCGCTTCCCTCTGCTCCTTCTCCAGCTCCCGCTCAGGCTTTAGCCGGCTCCCGCGGCGACGTAAGCGCGAATCCGTGGCCAAGATGAGCTTCCGGGCAGCCGCGGCCCTGGTGAAGGTGGGTGCGGGGGCCGGGGTGTGGAGCGGGGCGGGGGCCGGGGTGTGGAGCGGGGGTCTGGCAGCCCGCACGCTGCATGTTCCCCTCCTTGCCGGCAGGGCCGCTCTCTTAGGGACGGCACGTTACGCCGGGTGCAGCGCCGAAGCTTTACTCCCGCCAGTTTCCTGGAGGAGGACACGGCGGACTTCCCCGACGAGCTGGACACGTCCTTCTTTGCCCGGGTAAGAACACACGGACATCCCTGCGACCCCGCCGTCTGCGTGTCCTGCCCTGATCGCCCCTGTTTGCTCAGGAAGGAGTCCTCCATGAGGAGCTGTCCACGTACCCGGACGAGGTGTTCGAGTCCCCTTCGGAGGCCGCACTCAAGGACTGGGAGAAGGCCACGGAGCAGGCCGACCTCACGGGTGGGGCCCTGGACCGCAGTGAGCTCGAGCGCAGTCACCTGATGCTGTGAGTGCTGCCAGGCTGGGGGGCGGCCGTACTGTGGGGGGTCAGGAGCAGCTGGGCCGTGGGACGCTCGTGCCCTGGAGGCCTGAGGCAAGGAGTAGTCTCCTGGGCTGTGGCTGTGGGACCCAGGGTGGGGCACTCTCCAGGACTCAGCGGCCCACCTGCCTGACAGCAATGGCCCTGGGGGCCCTAGGCTGGACAGAACCCAGCAGGGAGGAGGCGGGTGTTGTGCTTAAGGCTTGTAGATCGAGGGGAGCCTTAGATAGGTTGGTAGGTCAGGTCATAGGTTGAATTCCATCTCTCCATCTCTGGAAGGGCTCTGAAGCTTTCTGGGGTAAGGACACTGGTTGACCGCACTGCGCCATCCCTGCTAGATGGGAACGAGAGAGGGGGGGAAGGTCATCCTGGTCCTGCCGGGAGGGATCACCCCAGGCCGGGCATCTAAGGCGGGAGGTGACAGCGCCCCTTCCCCCCAGGCCCCTGGAACGAGGCTGGCGGAAGCAGAAGGAGGGGGTTGCAGTGGCCCCGCAGCCGAAAGTGCGGCTGCGGCAGGAGGTGGTGAGCGCGGCGGGCCAGCGTCGGGGCCAGCGCATTGCCATGCCCGTGCGCAAGTTCTTTGCCCGGGAGAAGCGGCCGTACGGGCTGGGCATGGTGGGCCGGCTCACCAACCGCACCTACCGCAAGCGGATTGACAGCTACGTCAAGCGGCAGATCGAGGACATGGACGACCACAGGTGCGCGGGGTGCGGGGGCGTGGGGGCGCGGGTGGAGGGGTAGGTGGGGTGGGGCGCAGCTTCAAGCAGGCAAAGCCGGGGTCGGGGGCGCGCCCCCACCCCCCTGACGCTTCGCCCCGCCCCGCCGCGCAGGCCGTTCTTCACCTACTGGCTCACCTTCGTGCATTCGCTCGTCACCATCCTGGCCGTGTGCATCTACGGCATCGCGCCCGTGGGCTTCTCACAGCACGAGACCGTGGACTCGGTGAGCGCGGCGCCCTTCCCAGCCGGGACCAGGCGTCTGCAATCTGGGCCCGCACTCCCTCTGCCGCAGTCGGGGAGGAGAGTGCCCCGGCGGCCTCTGTGAGCTCTCCCCCTTCCAGGTGCTGCGGAACCGTGGGGTCTATGAGAACGTCAAGTACGTGCAGCAGGAGAACTTCTGGATCGGGCCCAGCTCGGTGAGGGCAGGGCCTCGTGGGCGTCAGAGGGTGGGGATCCTGGACCGGCGGGGGCCGGGTCCACCACTGCCCATCTCACTCGCCCGCAGGAGGCGCTCATTCACCTGGGCGCCAAGTTCTCGCCCTGCATGCGCCAGGACCCGCAGGTGCACAGTTTCATCCGCGCGGCGCGGGAGCGGGAGAAGCACTCGGCCTGCTGCGTGCGCAACGACCGGTCGGGCTGCGTGCAGACGTCGGAGGAGGAGTGCTCGGTGGGTGCGCCCACCCCGGTTTGTGGTTGCTCTGGGGCTTCCCAGCGAGGGCCCTCCGCTCCCTTCGAGCCCTGCCTCCTGCTTGCGCATCCCAGACAGCAGCTGCAGCCGGTCTGTGACTGGGGCGCGCTCTCTGTGCGCATGCGGGTCCTGTTCTTGTGCACGTGTTTTATGTTGACACAAGTGGCGCTGCCTTAACTCTTTCCACTAAGCAATTAAAAGAGACCCCCCCCCCCCAAAAGATTCAAGTTAAAAAATATTATTTAAGAAAAGATTTATTTAGAGAGAGCACAAGCTGGTGAGGGCAACACAGGGCGGGGGAGAGCAGACTCCCTGCTGAGCGCAGACCTGGCCACGGGCTGGAGCTCACAACCCGGAGCTGAATGAGGAGTGGGAGGGGTACCACCCAGTGCCCCATCCGGGCTTTTATCACCTCGTAGGCGGAGGTGCTACAGTTTGTACCAGTTCCTCATTTGGGTTGTTTCAACTTTGAAGCTGTTAGGAATTCTGCTGTTGAGCTCCTTTCAACAGTGCCCCCACATGCATACACGTTTCTGGAGCATCATTTCAGTAACACGGGCTGTGGGCTGACGTGAAAGTCTCCGTGGCTTTGGGCTAACGTGAGAGTCTCCGTGGCTTTGGGCTAACGTGAGACTCTCCGTGGCTTTGGTTTTCATTCCTGTCTCCTGTTGGCTGCACTGATCGAGGGGTGGGCTCTGACCGGGGTCGACCGTGTCCTCCCACAGTCCACGCTGGCAGTGTGGGTTAAGTGGCCCCTCCACCCCAGTGCCCCAGACCTTGCCGGCCACAAGAGGCAGTTTGGCTCTGTCTGCCACCAGGACCCCAGGTCAGTCTTGTTGCCTTTGTCCAAGCTCTGTGGGGTATGGGGGGAGAGGGCATAGCCCCCCTCATTGCGAAGCTGGACAGGTGTGGGTGCCAAGGAGATAAAGGGTGTGACCACATACTGGTTCATGCAGGGTGTGTGATGAGCCTTCCTCGGAGGACCCCCACGAGTGGCCGGATGACATCACCAAGTGGCCGGTGAGCTGGAGTGAAGGGCTGTTTGGGAGTCACCCCCATCAGGTGAGAGAGGAGTCCACACCTCATCGCTCAGCGAGACCAGAGAGATCCCGTCCAGGGACCACCCTGTATGTTCAGATCCTGTGCCCCTGGCCTTTGCCCAGCCTGTCTGCCTACCAGCACCTGCTCCTCTGAGCAGGTAGCCAGAACAAAAGGACCAGGGGGACACTTGGGAGGCAGGTGACCTTGTTCTGACCTGAAGGATGGCTTGTCTGCATCTCAGGGTGTGGCGGGAGGCCCGTTTCCTACCCTAGGACCTGTGCATCCTTGCCCCAGTCCCCAAGCACAGTGTGGGGCCCAGGGTTGGGGGAGGCCCTAACCCAGCTCACCCGCATTTGTGACCCAGATCTGCACCAAAAACAGTGCCGGGAACCACACCAACCACCCGCACATGGACTGTGTCCTCACGGGCCGGCCGTGCTGCATCGGAACCAAGGGCAGGTAGGTGTGCTCCTGTGTGTGGCCAACCGGGGGGTGGGGTGGGAGGTTGCCCTGGGGCCCCTCCCCCTCCCCAGGTTCTGAAACGGCCCCAGCTGCCCCCCTCCAAGTCTTCTCAGCCCTGGCCTGAACTTGCAGGTGTGAGATCACTTCCCGGGAGTACTGTGACTTCATGAGGGGCTACTTCCATGAGGAGGCCACACTGTGCTCGCAGGTAGGCCTCTAGGGCGAGTGTCCCTCTCCTGTTGCCCCGGCCACAGTGGGTGCTGACAGGCCACTCTGCACAGGTGCACTGCATGGATGACGTGTGTGGGCTCCTGCCCTTCCTCAACCCCGAGGTGCCTGACCAGTTCTACCGCCTGTGGCTCTCCCTCTTCTTGCACGCTGGGCAAGTGATACCATGTGGGCTGAGCTGTGCCAGGTGGGGTGGGTGCCCCCAGGGACCCTAGGTGTGGCTGGCCAGATGATGGAGGGGTGGTCTCCCCGCTGAGACCCTGCCATACCCCGCCCTCCCTGCAGGATCCTGCACTGCCTGGTGTCCGTCTGCTTCCAGATGACCGTCCTGCGGGACCTGGAGAAGCTGGCCGGCTGGCACCGCATAGCCATCATCTACCTGCTGAGTGGGGTCACCGGTAACCTGGCCAGCGCCATCTTCCTGCCATACCGGGCAGAGGTTAGGCTGCCCCCCAGAGTGGGGACCCATCCCAGACTGGCTCCATGTCCAGCATGGAGCGTGGGTCCCCAGACAGTCCAGCCTGGGGGCATCTCCTTTTGGCTCCTCAGTTTTGACATGGGCTGCGGGAGGCAGGACAGGGAGACAGGGCTCTGGGTCCGGGGTGGGTCTGCTGGGCCTCACCAGCTCACGGACACCCACACTGTCGCCAGGTGGGCCCAGCTGGCTCCCAGTTTGGCATCCTGGCCTGCCTGTTCGTGGAGCTCTTCCAGAGCTGGCAGGTCCTGGCACGGCCCTGGCGAGCCTTCTTCAAGCTGTCGGCGGTGGTCCTCTTCCTGTTTACCTTCGGGCTGCTGCCCTGGATCGACAACTTTGCGCACATCTCGGGCTTCATCAGCGGCCTCTTCCTGTCCTTCGCCTTCCTGCCCTACATCAGCTTCGGCAAGTTCGACCTGTACCGTAAGCGCTGTCAGATCGTCGTCTTCCAGGCGGTCTTCCTGGGCCTCCTGGCCGGCCTGGTGGTGCTCTTCTACTTCTACCCCGTGCGCTGCGAGTGGTGCGAGTTCCTCACCTGCATCCCCTTCACCGACAAGTTCTGCGAGAAGTACGAGCTGGACGCGCAGCTCCACTGAGGGGCCGCCCCGGGCCTCCTGGGCCCGACCTTGGCCTGCGTGCCCTGCGTGCGGCCGGCCGGTGCCCTGCACTGACCTCTTGTGCCTTGCTCACCGCGGTGGACGTCTCGTCCTCCAGGGCATTTACTACACTAGTTCCCACGATTACCTTCTAACGAGTTTTTTGACGACCACCTCGTGTGGCCAATAAATGCACCGGGAGCGTTTTAGCTGCCACTAACTTACCAGCGCTGCCTCCTCTTTGTGGTCTCTGGCTAGGGCTGTGGAGGGGGGTCCTTCAGGCCTCTTCCCCACCCTCCCCTCCCGCTTATGGCTCTGCAGAATGGGGAACAAAGTGTCAGACACACCTCCCAGTGAAGTCTACCAGGTGGCTGGCTGGACCTTGTCCCCATCTTTAGGGTGACTGGCAGCTGACAACGAGAGAAGAACCCATGGTTGTGCTATTGTGCCCTCCCCCACCCCGAGAAGTACCTGACCCCAGCCCTCCCTCTCCAGCCAGAGGCTGCCTCCCTTTCTAGGAGCCACAGGGTGAAGGGTGCTCCTCCAGGCGAACCCTGGGAGCTAAGGCCGGAGACCTCAACCACATACTATTGGCTGCAAGGCCCCTGTTGCCCCGTAAGCGCACAAAGCCAGCCATCGACTTCATGTCCCCTTGCAGTAGAAATCACGGTAGAATTACTGGTCTTGTGGCCGGGGGATGGTGTGGCCGCAGGGCTCAGAGCAAGCGATGGAGACCTCAGGGCTCCCCCGCACCGTTTTCTGCCCTTGCCTCCCCTCTGTGAATGGGCAGCAGCACGGCCGCCTGCTCCCAGACTGTGGCTCTCTTACTTTTCAAACTGAGGAGCAAGTAGATTTATTTTGTACGCAGGGCCAGGCCCACGTGCCGCCTGACTTGGCTGTTTGGGCCCAGGGCCTGGCTGCGTTCCAGCCGGTACCAGCCACCGGCACAGAGCTGTCCATGTCCGGACGTTCATTTTTGCCTCAGCTTTTTGATGAAGGACACCTCATCTCGATTCCGGATACCGTAACTGGAAAAGAAAGAGGACTACAGTGTGTGATCGGCAGAAGCTGTGTCTGAGTCCTCACCTGAGATCTGTGAGGGACTAAGAAGGAACCGGCAGGAAGAGCTGTGTCCAGGGAGGTGAGGAAGTGGCAGTGACCATCCTCTCGCCTGCACACACACTGCCTCCCCCTGGCCCTGGGAGGCCCTTCACTGCCACTGGTGAGTGCTGGTCCCACTGCCCCTCTGCCTCCCATTCCAGGGGGAAGGGCCCCCAGGAACCCCCTTGCAGGAGGCTCTCAGTCCAGCCAGGCACTCTCGGGGTCTCGCGAGTTCCCCAGGAACTGATTTAATCACGACTCCTCGTTCCTGGGAAGAGGCCCGAGCCCTCTGGTGGGGCTTGGGGAGCTGGCGAGCGAGAGACCAGATGCCTCCCTGCAGCTCAGAGCGTGGCCCACACTTACTCTCGGAGCTTCTTCCTGTCGTCTGTGAGCTTCTCTCCTGCAGAGATCAGGTAGTAGGTCCTCCACACGTAGGACCTGCAAGGTTCAGGGGTTCAGGCGCACCGCGGGCCGGGTGACGGGGCAGCTGGGACACAGGGGCTGCGTGTGAGATGGGCTCAAGACGCTCAGCTTGGGGGGACCCAGGGCAGGCGGCCTCGTCTTGGCTCTTGCTGTACCACGCACGCGCCGGGCCTGAGGGAACTCTCAGGAGGCACTGCTCCAGGGGCTGTGGTGGGCCTGACCTTACTCACGAAACAGGCTGCAGTACCGAGACCCAGACCGCACGCAACCTCTGGCCCAGCAGGCCTGAGAGAGCACCCAAGGGACGATGGGCAGGACCGCTGACAGCTGCCCCACCTCCAACCCGGGAGACTGCTTACACTAGAAATGCCTCGAGGTGCTCCCGTCTAGGAATCCCAGTGGCTGCCCAGGTGGCATGCTATAGACGCCAGAGCAGCTGAGGCAAGAGTCCCAGGCACCGGCCACCAAAGGCTCACCAAGACCTCACGGCACCAGCGCTTCCCACAGCCCCACTTACCAGCTGATGTGCTGGATGCCCCCCTCACGCTCTTGCCTGAGCTGCACGTATCTCTGAATGGCCTTCTTCAGGTCCAGGACGGTAGCGTTCTGGACCACAACCACAGCTGCAACACAGGTGGGAGAACAGGCACGGTGGGAATCCTCGGACGGCAGGAAAGGAACCCAGCAGCTCTGTTCAGACTGTTCTGGACGGAGACTCAAGTCCAGGTGGAGTGGGCTTGTGCCTGGCCCAATACCCCTGCACATGCCCCTGAGTTTCCCCGAGCCGTGTCAGCCATGTCAGCACCCCGCCTGTGGGAAAGCTGGGGCTGCACGGTCCCAAAGGAGAAGGTGAACACTTACGCATGATTTCTCCGTCCATCTTGCACACTCGGACTGTCATTGCTTGGCCGTATTCTAGTGCTATTTGCGAATTGACTTCTTCCAAAGTAACCTACAGAAAGACCAAGGGTGGGAGCCCGGCTTGTTGAACAACAACAAGAGAAAACAAGTTGAGAGTGTCCAAAAAGGACAAGAAACAGATTTCTTGCGTCTGTGTCTCACAGCTCCACCCACATTTTGTATTTAATGTCCAAAGCGCATGACAGCTCAGGAAGAGTACAGAGAGCAGGGAGGACCAGGGTCAGATCTGGGTTCTGGGCTGGGCAGGAGTACGGACACTGTGAGTCCAGGGCCCAGGACAACACGGAGTTGAGGCAAGTGTGCAAAATTCACCAGCCTCCCCACCCCCGCCCAAAGCAGTCACAATAAATATGCCAATACAACCTTAAAAAACCGACAAGTTGGGCACCTGGGTGGCTCAGTCGGTTAAGCATCTGCCTTGGGCTCAGGTCATGATCCCGGAGTACCAGGATTGAGTCCCCTGTCCGGCTCCCAGCTCCAGGGGGAGTCTGCTTCTCCCTCTGACCTCCTTCCCTCTCAAGCTCTCTCTCTCAAACAACTAAAATCTTTAAAAAGAAAAATAAAACCCGACAAGTTCAGTCTACGACTCCAGGAGGAGCCGACAGCCAAGACGGAAAGGCGGGACCGTGTGGAACCAAACTGAAGGCGGATAAACAAACACCGGTCCCGGTCCTGTCTCCCCATCAAGGGGGCGTCCCGTTCGCCACAGACGACCTCTGCGTTCCAACCCGCGTGTTAGAGGGTCCTGCGCGGACGCGCGTTTCCGTGCGCCTCTCTCCATGCCGCGCGCCCCCGCCGTCCAGGCCCGGCCCCCGCGAAGGCCCCCGCTTGGGCCCAGAGGCGCCTCCTCCAGGGTTGCGGGCCGCGGTCTGCCGTCCGGGCCGCCCCAGGGCCGTGCGCGGCCGGCGGGGAGAGGGCCCGACCCCGGCCGCCGCCGCCCGCGCGCACCTGGATCGGCAGGTCGCAGAGCAGCGGGTCCTGCACGACCATGGCGAGACCCTCCTGGAACACGTCCACCGCCTCGGAGTGCGGCAGCGCCTCCTCCTCGTCCTCCTCGTCCTCTGGCGCCTCGGGCCGCCCGGCCGCCTCCACCTCCGCCCCTGCCCCGGACGGCTCCAGGGCGCCTCTCCGCGCGCGCGCTCCAACCGCACCGCCGCGGCGCGCCCGGGTTCCGGCCCGGGCGACCGCGAGGGGGCGGGGCTGCCGCGGGGACCAATGGGGAGCTCGAGGAGGGCCAGCCGCTGGGCGTGCCGGGGCCCGAAGTCGGCCCAGCCATTGGCCGGCCTGGGGGGCGGGGCGGATGTCCAGACCAATGGGCACTCGGGACGGGCCCGGCGGCGGCGGCGGCGGGCGCGGGGTCTGCCGGGAGCCTGCGGGGCGCTGGGGGCCGCCATGCTGCTCTTCTGCCCCGGCTGCGGGAACGGGCTGATCGTGGAGGAGGGGCAGCGCTGCCACCGTTTCGCCTGCAACACCTGCCCCTACGTGCACAACATCACCCGCAAGGTGCGGCCCGGCGTCCGCCTTCGCCCGTCCTCGCGCTCGCGGCCGCCTCCAGCCGGCTGCGGGTCCTGCCGCGCGTCCCATCGCGTGCGCCCGAGATCCGGCCGCCAAGCCTCAGTGCCACCCCCCCGGGTCCCCGGCCGTCTCTCCCGCGCTGCGCTCCTGACCGCGCCCCTGGGCTCCCCTTCGATCTCGCGGCCCGTGCCTCCCCCTTCCCCCGGGCTCCCGGCCCCCGCGCGCGCGCCCGGCCCCGCCCCGAAACATTCCCCCTTCCCAGCCCGGCCCCACGACGGTGCGCGCCCATGCCCGGCCTCATGCACGCGCTGTCCCCAGACACGAGGCGTCCTGCGAGGAGCCCCCGTCGCTCACGCAGCTGCGGCCGGGCCTTTGCACGTGCTTTCTGCTCGGTCTGCTTTTCCGGGGGCGCCGTGCCCCTCGGGGGTCCTGTTTCAAATGGTTGCTCCGTTTAAAGCGTTTCAGCGTCTTCCCTGTGTTCCTGTGGGACTCCTACTTCCTGAGTCCGGCGGCCTAAGGCGTTGGAGGGCGGGGGCTTTTTCTCCGTTTCGGTGCCGCTTGGGGTCGATGCCGAACCTCGAAGTAGCGCGTGCGCGGGACGGGAACGACGCGCGCGGTGTCGTGCCTCGTTGCGGGTCTGTCTCCATCGTGAGCGCACTTCGGCGCTGCGCGAGTGGGAAACTTGTCCCCCGTGTGCGCGGGGCTGCGCCGGGCTGCCGCGGTCGCCGGCTGCGGGGGGAGTGGACGCCCAGGGAGCCCTGACGTTCCGGGGGCACTTGGCGAACCCGGGGAGCAGGCCAGGTGTCGTCTGCTGGGCAAGGCCTGGGGCTGCGCTCCGCGGGCCGTGCCGAGGAGGGGAGGGTCCCACCTACCGGCTTTCCCTGCCGCCCTGGTGCGTTCCTCCAGTGCTCGGAGCGATGCTCTCACCCCCGTGTGGTCACTGCGCCGAAACAAAGTCCTCAGACGCCTATCCGAGCGGCCACGCAGGGATCCCTCTACGAGGGCGGGCAGCCCAGCTGGGTTCCGCATGGAGCTGTCATCTTACTTTATCAGAGAAGGAGAGACGCGTGCCTCAGAGCGAGGGGAAGGACTGCGGAGGGGTGGCAGGTGCCTTAACGCGGTAAAGCCGGCCTGCGCGGTCCTGAGCGCAGGCCCGCCGGGAGGCAGACGCGGGTAGGGGCGGAGTGGGATGTTCCTGCCAGTCATCGCCAGGTGCAGGGAGGGGGCCGAGGGGTACAGTCTTTCCTCGCTCCTAACCTGTGCCCTGCCCCTGGGGATCACGGGATCCTGTTCTAGCGGGCCCTGGCGGTCAGTAGTAGCCTGAGAACAGGACCGCTGCTGCTGTTCCAGCTGCTTCCACAGTCACTCCTTAGGGCTTACAATGCATTTTCTTTCTTTGTTCCTGTTTTAAAAAGGTTTTAAAGAGAGAGAGAGAGAGAGAGAGAGGGCGAGTATAGATGTGGGGAGAAGGGGCAGAGGGAGGGAGAAGCAGGCTCCTTGGGGAGCAGGGAGCCTAGTGCCTCCATCCCAGGCCCCTGGGATCCTGACCTGAGTGGACACTTACTGACTGAGCCCCCAGGCACCCCCCCATATGTTTTCTAAGAATAGCTCCACACTGCTGAATTATCCTCTTTGGGGTGGCACCGGACCTGGATTCTTTAAATGCCAGCGCTGAGTTCTGTGCTGTGAGAGGAGAAATGTGGGACTGCTTTAGTGTCCCTCCAGTCTCTGTTGAAGGAAGCAGGTCTGGGAGACCCTTGAGGACGGGAATGGTTTGGGGGCCCAGGTCTGTCCTCCTCCATTGCGTGGAGCCTGAGGACCTGCTTTTCGTTAGGTGACAAATCGGAAGTACCCGAAGCTAAAAGAGGTGGACGACGTGCTCGGTGGGGCAGCGGCCTGGGAGAACGTGGACTCCACCGCAGGTGAGTCGAGAGCGGTGAGGCACGGGGTTGCCGTCCTGGGTCTGTGTCAGGGACGCCAAGGATGGGGGAGCGACTAACGAGAAAGTTTCCTGAGCACTTGTTAGACCGACGATATTGGCCCAACCCCACCCAGAGTTGGACGGCCCTGGGCCGGGGTCTCAAAGTGACCTCCCCACGTTTTAGGACCTCGGTGGCCTCCCCGGCCCTTTCTGGGGCTGTTCCGTGTGCGCTGGGTGTGGGAGACAGCGGTGGGCACCCCCTGCGCTCGGAGGGCTGGCCGTGGTGGGAGTGGCAGTGACAGGAGTAAGGGAAGTCAGAGCCCGAGGAAACACACGGGGTCCCTTGTTCTGGTGTGGATTTTTACACGTTAATGCCAGAGAGCATTCAGCTGTTTATCCCGAGTCTTGTTGGTGTGCGGAGGGGGAGACACGACCAGCGAGGGAAAGAGGGGAGCCCAGACAGTCCTGGACTGGGTGGACCAAGAGCAGCTCCTGTTCCCTGTCGCCTTTTCCCTGTAGAAGAGCGTCTACATCTGATGCAGTAAAATCGGCATCGGCAGAATTTGCTAAAAAAAAAAAAAAAAAAAAAAAAAAAAGACTCACGTACCTAATGTTTGAAATGGTGTTTGAGAGTGTGATGGAGTTGGGTCAGTTTCTCAGGGTGAAGTCACTTTGCCTCGAGGCACTTGGCAGAGGTGCGGGGCGGAGGGGCGGAGGGCGCGATGGCCCCGAGAACAGCCCGAGGGCTGCTGCCAGGATGGGTCCCTGTCCTGGAGGGTGTGTGGGTTCACCGCCGGCGGGGGCTCCTCTGGGAGGCGCGAGGGCCCATGCGATGGAAAGGCTGTTGGAAGCCTCGCAGGAGGGTACCCGTGATGCACAGGTAGCCACTGTCCCCTTCCTTGTGGCGTTCACAGCCCGTCTTCAGCAGATGGGAGGAGGAGAAGGGGGCCAGGGAGGGAGCTGGCGTGTCTTCCCGGTCGCAGGTCTCCGTTCCCTCACTGCGGGAGCATAGTGGGACCGGTGCCACTAGCGGTCGCCTGAAGTCATGGCACAAGGGTGCCCAGGCAAGGGATGCCAGGTGCCCGGGCCGGGGCAGGGTCTTGCTGCCTTTCCGTGACACGTCCTTCTAGCAGGTATGTCTGGCCGTGGGCAGTTTGTTTTTGTTTTGAATGATGTGGCTCACTCGTTCTTCCTGTTTCCAGAGCCGTGTCCTAAATGCGAGCATCCTCGAGCCTATTTCATGCAGCTGCAGACGCGCTCGGCCGACGAGCCCATGACCACCTTCTACAAGTGCTGCAGTGCTCAGTGTGGACATCGCTGGAGGGACTAGGGCCCGGCTGGCCCGGCCGCGCCACTGTCGCGGACCTCGCTCCCCAGGGTGCACTCCCCTCCAGGAGTGCGGACTTTGTCCGGAGGCATCTTTGTGGGGGTGGCGGGAAGCTGACCCTTCGAGGGGAGCTGGCCGGGGGGCCCGCAGACGCGGCCCGCCTGGCGGTCGGTCTGCAGATGAGCTCACCGTGCCCGGGGGTCGCGTGTGTGGAGCCGGGTGTCCGCAGGGAAGCGTGCTCTTCCGGCGTGCACGTGTCGGAGCCGACAGACGTCCTCTCCCCATCACCCTTCTCAGACGTGTGCCCTGTCGGCACAGTTGCGAAGTAAAATTCTGTTGATGGTACATCGATGTCCCTGAGTATCTAGCTGTTAACTTATTTTATCACCATCTGTTGTGAACGTTTAATTAAAATGGAAAGCCTAATGCTGCCTTTTCAGTGTTTCATTTTTTTTGCCAAGAAGTGTGTTTTATTGTCATTAATCATAACCTAATTTGCTGTAGTAGCCCAGGGCACACTGGAGGGGTGGGCAGTCTGCCTGGTGGTCCTCAGAGACCTGCAGGCCGGTCGCCTCGCCCTGGGTGCCCGGTCCACACTGCGGCCCGTCACCCGTGTCCACCGGCAGGTGGTCCTTGCTCCATGGCACGGCCGGGCGGAGGTCTCACAGGTGACGAGGGCAGGGAGTCCCCTGGGTGCTTAGGACGGTCACTCTGCTTCTCCCGCCGGGGGCGCTCTTGCCCGGCGGCTGTTTTCCAGCGTCTCCGTTTTCCCCGGCTTGGCCTTCTCGACGTGTCCAGCCTCTGCCATTTCCTTAACGTGATCTGTGGCGTTGGGCTCTGAGCCCGGCGCCTGGTCCTCGCACTCGTGCTGCTGCCGTAGAGACCACGTTCAGCGTTTTCGGTGCTTTGAGATGTCGACCTCAAACTCCTGCCACCCTTCGGGCTCTCCTGGTCGAGAATCGCTGATGACCTGGATTTCAGGTCATCATGTCTTTTCGGGTTTCCTAGGATTGCAGTAAACTGGTGAGATAGAAGGCATTTCGGCTTTTTTCCTTCATCTTTTCTCCTGCAAAAGAAAAGGGACGTCCCAGCCTGGAGGGGGACGGGAAGGATTTTGCAGCCGGGCTGGTTTCTTGCTCAGGACCTCGGACTTCATGACGTTCCCAAATTTCTTCCCAGTGAAGTCTCGTTTGGGAAGTTGCGGGCTGTGAATTCATACCCCTGATACGGGTGTGTATGTTTTTGAGACTCATATCTTGTCCAGAAATGGTTAACCCTGAAGTCTGACGTGGCGCTGGGTTCTTTTGGCTTCGTTTTGTTTCTGGCAGGCTCCACGGTGGAGCCCCGCGGAGGGCTTGAACTCACGACCCAGAGGTCATGGCCTGAGGCTGCTTCACGACTGAGCCACCCGGCGCCCCAACCTGATGGCTTTCTTTTTGCCGTGACACGTAGCCCAGGTCGTGAGCCCGTGGTCTGTAGCAGGTCATTCCCCGCACAGAACAGCGCATTCCGGTTATGCGGATGGAATGTGACGATAGGGGCGTTGCCCTCGGTAGTTTCTGTTTGTTGCATCAGTTCTCGTGGTTTCGCCTTGTTCCTTCCCACGCGGTCCCCTCAGATCTTCTGCAGATGCTCACCGGCCGGTCGGTGGTCAAGGCCTGCACGTCTGCTGCTTTGCCGTGAGACAGCCGCGAGCCGAGCCTCTGCCTTCGTTCCCCGGTGTACGGTGGCGATGACGGTCGTCCAGTGCAGGGGTTTGCAAACTTCCGTCAAGGGCCGGATAGTAAATATTTTCGACTTTGTGGGTCAAGAGTCAAAATCTGGAAAGACAAACTTCGACGGCTTTTTTTTTTTTTTTTTAATTTTATTTATTTATTTGACAGAGAGAGATCACAGGTAGGCAGAGAGGCAGCCAGAGAGAGAGGAGGAAGCAGGCTCTCTGCTGAGCAAAGATCCCGATGTGGGGCTCGATCCCAGAACCCTGGGATCATGACCTGAGCCGAAGGCAGAGGCTTTAACCCACTGAGCCACCCAGGCGCCCCTCGACGGCCTTTTTATAGACAAAACCCGACATGTGGCCGCAGTCCTTGGGTGCAGCGTTTTGTGTGGGGGTCCCCAGGTGGAAGAAAGGGTATCGGTTCACTTCACGGGGCTTCAGAGTTAGCCGTTCTTGTCGTGCGGACAGACGGCAAACAGGCGTCTGTTCGTGCCGGTTAAGTGCAGGGAGCACACGAAGTCGGATGTAGGCGTTGCCGGCAGGTCGGAGTCCGCACTGGCGAGAGCGGCGGTGGTTTCCGCAGAGAGCTTGCTGCGGCACGTAGGGGCAGACGCCAATCCACGCTCTACCCAGTTAGTGTTTTCTCGGTTTTGGGGATAGTCTTGCCTCCGGTGGTGGGTGGTTCTCTGCGGGCCCGGCTCCGTGCGGGGCACTCACTCTCCGCAGACATCCTGGGGTGGTAGCAGTCACGTCGGCGGAGTGGTCAGGGCTCGAGGGAAATCACTTCGGACGACGTCGGTTGCCTTCCTGCTGCTCCCAGTGCCCTTAGGTGTCAGAACCCTTCTCTGCAGGGCCGGGGGTTTTCAATCTAATCTCTCGGGACACACTTCAGCTGCTGCGAAAACACACCAGTCACCATCCACATGGCTTTCCTGGCTTGGGTAACGCACGAGCCACTCGGAAATTTAATTAGGTTGCTTCGTTTTCGTATTTAATTTTTCTGGAGAAATTCTGTGCCACGTTGAGAATCGTGCCGGTGACCGGGTTGGCTCCAATAACGTTGACCTGCTGGGGTGCCCTTGTGCAGTGAGCTTTCCTTTGCTTGCCAATTCAGGGTCCACTTTCTGGTTTTGTCGCGATGGGTGTGCGCTGGGAAGAGGTTAAGGGAAGAAAACACGTGCATATGTTTGTATGACTGCTTCATGCTCAGGACTGACAGTCCTAGTGATTTTCTGGGCCTCTCCCTGGCTCCCATCCTCCGGGAAGGGCTCTGTGCTGACTTTCACGGATGTCCTCTCCTATGTCTTCTTCTTGTTTTCTGCATTGTTACGATACTGTGTTTTTCTCCTACGTATTTTCCTTTTGGTTCTTTTCTGTAGTGTGTATCTCTCCTCACATATTTTCTGTTTCTTCCTTGGGACCATATTTTCCTTCACATCTTGGAGCATAAACCTGTGCTCGTTCCAAAAGGTTGGTCCTGGGAGTCCCTGTCCATCGACGTGGGTCACCTGGTTCTGTGTCTTCCTAAGTCCGATACTCTCGGGTTCATCTCGGAAACTGTGAACGATGTAGACCACGGGTACTGGATTCTGTCGGGTTTCCCCGGAGAGGTTGTTTCTTACTGCTCCCTACAGCGGGCTGTAAACTCGGTGTCTGATGTAGCTGTCTTTAACCCTTCGCTTGCTGCCCGGAGTTACTCGTACGCACGGAGTTCGCGGGGAGCCAGAGATTTTGTTGTTTGTGTTGGGGGCAGAGTTTCGATCTAGAATTTGGTGCTCTTCTCCCCTCCAGGGTTTCCTCCCTTTCCCGCCTGTGTGGTTTCCCCTGGAGGGGTCATGGCTGTGGTGTGGGTGCTGTGGGTGCTGTGGTCTGATGGACTTGAGGTGGTAAATTCTAGTTTTAGCAAGGTGGGAGGGACCCTGTCAGAGGGAAGGAACCTCTCTTTAGATGGGTCCTAGAGAAGCTGCAGTCATCATAAAGGTATGTGCTTCTAACAGGTAAGGTGGGCGTCTCGCTGACTGAAACTTAAATATTAGACAGCTGCGTGGGGGTCGCCTGGGCGGCTCAGTGTGACTCTTGATCTCGGCTCAGGTCACGACCTCAGGATCGCGCGACTGAGCTCCATGTGGGGTCCGCACCGGGTGTGAGCCTTCTCCCTCTCCTTCTGCCCCTCCCCATCTCAAAAAAACCAGATGTGTGATTTATGTTTGTGTCCAGTCCTCAGGTGTTCACGGGCTTAGACTTCTGGTTTCATCTCTCTGTGGGTCCTCGTTGTTCGCAGAGCTCAGAGCTGCAGCTCTGGGTCCTCCAGACCTAACCCCAGATGTTTTGATGCAGAGACACACATGCACACTGATATGTGCCCTTATTTGGTACCCCAAAGAACACACAGCCAAGAAGTCAGTGAAAAGAAGCATATCTTCACTAATAATCAGCAAAGTGTAAATGAAAGCAACGTTGCAATGTGTTTGCTTAGGAGATAGGCAAAGATTACAAGGACTGATTCTGTATCCTGTTGGGGACAGGCACTCCCCGACTCCGGGTGGGAGTAGACTTTGGTCCATGTTTGGAGGGCCACGGGGTAGGACCAGTATTTAAAAATGCTGAACCGTATTTTTTTTAGTTTTTATTTTAAAAATAAATTTAGATTTTATTTGTCAGAGAGGGAGGGGGGCGTGTAAGCAGGGGCAGAGAGAGGGGGAAGCAGGTTCCCCGCTGAGCAGGGAGCCCGATGAGGTGCTCGATCCCCGGACCCTGAGATCATGACCTGAGCTGAAATGAAGGCAGGCACTTCACCACTGAGCCACCCGGGCGCCCCATTAAAATGCTGAACTTCAGACCCTGCATTTCCACCGGTAGAATCAGTTGCACAGTGGTGCTCACTCTGGGGATTAAGGGTCCCTGCCCAGAATCGCTCACTACCTTTGTTTAAAATTGCAACTATGGAAATTAACGTAATGTTGCACATCCTTCCTCAGAAAATAAAGATAGCACACACGGCAGCAATCCCGATGTCTCCCGGCGGGATTATTGAACCGTGGCATGTGCTACCGTTAAAGGCACGAACCGGGCTTTTCTGTGCCAACCTAGAAGAGGGTCGGAAATACAGGAGCCAGGAGTCCGCCCAGCTTGGCGCAGCCTGAGGCCAGGAAAGACATACACCTGTTTGGGCTTCCCCCGTGTGTGGAAGGACTTGTGCCTAACTTCTCACAGAGGCGTCCTCTGGGGTGAGAGAGCGGGGACTCATTTTTCATTTTCTTCTGTCTCGTTTGCTCTCCTTGACGTGGGAGTGCATCACTTCCCTGTTTAACAGCCTCTCCAGGGGTGTTTCTTGGAAGGGTTCCAGTGGACACTGCCCCTCGCTGGACGGGTCCCCACAGCCCGTGTTTAGCTACCTTCCGTGTCACGGGGAATGAAGGGTCACCCCATGTCCCGGTCCCCGGGCTTGGGGTTAGCGGTGGTGGTTGTCTCTCAGCCCCACTTGGGACAGCCGCTCTGCTCTGCGTCGTGGTTTCAGATGTGGGCGGCCTGTGTGAGCCCGCCGTGGGAGGCTCACGTCACTGCTCACTGCACTCGTATCCTGAATCAGGCTGAGAGGCTTTGCTGCAAGCATAGGAACGGTCACCTCCAGGTCTGGAGGGTTGGGGGCCCCTCCGATTTGCCATGGGACCCGGCAGGTGCATCTGGGAAGGTGAGTCTGGCCATCAAGGCAGC